GCCAGTTTTGCATTTCCGGGCTTTTCAGCCAATCAGACGGGACCTAGTCCTGCCCCTGCTTCCGGCCACGGCTCCTCCCCTGCAGCAGCTGCCCCCCCCCACACACACAGAGGGGGTTTCCTGCCATATGGAGACGCCGTTTTAAGTCAGTTTTGTCGGCTGACTCAAAGGACATTTCATGTTCGTGTAAGGAAATACCTGGTCCTTCACACCTTCCATGCATTAGTTCTTCAGAGATCTTTTTGCACAGGGAAATTGTTCACTTTGAAACAATATTAATTAAGATTAAATTAGCTTTGATGTTAAAACAGATCTTACTGGACAAGCTTTGTGTTGTACTTCAGCATTGATGGCCTTCAGTTTTCTCATCTCTTTTCCTGGGCTGGAGGATGGGGCTTATCTTTTAGCAATAGTAATTAGTGACTTAATCAGGAGACCCTGTTCTGCTCATGTGGGTAGTTCCCTGGGATCACAGTTTGACATCTTACTTTTTTTAAAAATAGAAGTTAATGTAATAAAGCTCAGTTATTTTTGCTGTTTTAGCAGGGCTCCAACAGCACAGGGAAAAGCCTGAGGCTTTTTAGCCACTATCAGAGAGTTTGATAAACTGGTTTTGCTTCCTGTCTTACAGGGACCTCCAGGGACCCCAGGCATTGCTGGACCTCCTGGACCACCTGGAGCACCAGTAAGAAAACAGGCTTGGTTTTTATTTTTGTTTTATATGAAGCAGAGATAAAAATAGGTGGGGAAAAGTTTAGGTCACTGGTTGTAGTGGGAACTGAGTCAGGTCATCTGGCAATGGATGTTTTATCTGATATTTTCTCACTGAAAAGCCACAGCAGGTGGACAACTTCCCTGTGCTGAGCATTGGAACCATCTTGGTGCTACATGGGTCAGTGTCTGCAGGACCCCCCACAGCAAAGATCTGACTGCCATGGAAGGGAAAATTGCTTTTAAATTGAAAGCAGCAACCTCCATTAAGGTAGCTGCAAAGGACAGAAATACTGATTTTATTTATTTATTGTTCTGGTTTCATTTTTCAGGGTCTTCCAGGAGAAATTGGAGTTTCTGGTAAAACTGGACCACCAGGACCAGCTGTAAGTGTTGAGGAACTGCTTCCCTTGCCTCCATGCTCTCAGTGACTTCAGATATCTTAATTTTCAAGTCTACTTCATTTCCTGCAGTGGGCTTCAGCACTGTCATCTTTGATGCAGACATTAGCCTCTCATGCCTTTTGTGAATATTTTTACCAGATGCAGCTCCACTATTCCTACGTACTTGGAACTATGATGTTCTCTTTTTGTCATGCCTTTCAAAACTCATTTTGCATTTGGCAAGACATTATCCTTCCAAACCTGGGGCTTCCTGAATCAGGCCAAAAAATTCAACTTCAAAATCTCAGATTTAACAGAGCATAAGAATTTCTGTTGGCTATAAATTTTTAAAAGGTGAATGATGCAATACTTTGTATTCTACAGTGTTTGGAGATTGACTAATACTAGGAAAAGGAACAAAACTTTTTTCCCATCATTCAAAATGCATGACAGGAAGTAATTTTAATTCTTATCTGCTGAACAATTCTGTCACAATGCTTTGTATAATTTAATTTCAGGCCTCTGTGTATTGTGGAAGAAATTACCAATATTTAAAAGGAGAAATAGACTTTCAAAAATCTTTATAGCTACAGATAATAGAGACTTAAAGAGAATGATAAGTAAAACTGTAATTTTTAAGTTATTTAAAAATCCACAGTGCATAAAAATCTCTATGATGTTGTTTCTCTATAACAACACTGACATCCTGTGGTCATTCATCAAAACTGAGATACTGGAAAAAGGGCTGAGAATATATGCGAGTTGTAAGAACTTTTGTGTTCTTTTGAGTCAAAACAAACTGGTTTACACTGGGCAAAAAACTGACTTCCTGGGTAAAAAACTGACTGCATGGCCAAGCCCAGAGGGTTGTAGAGAAGAGAGTTAAATCCATCCACGACAGGTCACCAGTGGTGTCCTCTGGGCTCAGTTCTGGGACCAGTCTTGTTCAGTACACAATCACAGTGTGGTAGGGGTTGGAAGGGACTTCTGAAGATCATCAAGTCCAACCCCCTAGCCAGAGCAAGACCCCCACAGAATCTAGGACAGGTCACACAGAAACACATCCAGATGGGTCTTAAAAGTCTCCAGAGAAGGAGATCCTTCATACCTTTATCAGTGATCTGGACAAGAGGATTGAGTGCACCCTCAGTAAGTTTGCAGATGATGCCAAATTGGGAAGGGACCTGGACAGGCTGGATCAATGGGCCAAGGCCAACTGTCTGAGGTTCAACAAGGCCAAGTGCCAGGTCCTGCAGTTGGGCCACAACAACCCCATACAACTCTACAGGGTTGGCTGGAGAGCTGCCCAGCAGAAAAGTGCCTGGGGGTGTTGATCAACAGCCAGCAGAAAATGAGTCAGCAGTGTCTCCAGCTGGCCAGGAAGGCCAACAGCATCTTGGACTACATCAGGAATAGTGTGACCATCAAGACGAGGGAAGTTGATTTTCTACCTGTACTGGGCACTGGTGAGGTTGTGCCTCAAGTCCTGTGTTCAGTTCTGGGCCCCTCACTACAGACGGACATTGAGGTGCTGCAGCAAGTCCATAGAAGAGCCACCAAGCTGGTGAAGGGTCTAGAGAACAAATCCTATGAGGAAAGCTGAGGGAACTGGGATTGTTAAGTTTGGAGAGGAGGAGGCTGAGGGGAGACCTTATTGCTCTCCACAGCTACCTGAAAGGAGGTTGTAGTGAGGTGGGCATTGGCCTCTTCTCCCAAGTGAATAACAATAGGACTAGAGGAAATGACCTGAAGTTGAGCTAGGGGAGTTTAGGCTAGATATTAGGAAGCATTTATTTACCAAAAGAGTAGTCAGGCACTGGAACAGGCTGCCCAGGAAGGTGGTGGAGTCACCATCCCTGGAGATACTAAAAAAATGTGTCGACGTGGCACTTCAGGTCATGCTCTAGTGGACATGGTGGGTGGTGTTGTGTTGGTTTTTGTTTGGTGCTTTGGTGTTGTGCTTTTGTTCTGTTTTGCTTTGTTTTCCCGTGGCTGAATGATTGGACTCAGCGATCTTAGAGGTCTTTTCAAATCATAATGATTCTGTGATTCTGTGAAAAAGCATGAGGTGGTTCTTAAACTTCAGTCAGTGGCAAGAGGGATGAACCAAACATGCCATGCTGAGCTTGCTGTTAATGATACAAAGAACAGGCACTAACAGCTTATGATTTTTTCTTGTTTAGGGGTTGCCTGGCAAAGATGGATTAAATGGGCTTCCTGGGCTTCCAGGTCAAAAGGCAAGTGACACCATGTGCATGGTATTAAGCTGCTTATCTGGGCAAGCTTGCAAGAGTAAGTGGGAAGGGGAACATGCCTCCAGAGCCAAACACCACATCACCAGTCCCCCAGCACTGAGCCACTGGTGAAGCTCCAGGGCCAAATCCACTGGTGTAGTCCCACTCTACTGAGTCATTATGAAGATGGAGCTGGTTGTAAATGCAGCAGGGGTGGGAGATCCTCTTCCTGTCTTCACCTGCTGCAGCCTATTTGGCAAACACAACTGAGCATTGCAAACTGAGAAGTTTCTATGGTCATTCAGAAAAACCAGTGACACTGGCAAGTCAAGGCAAGTGCCCAAGGCACAAAGAAGAAGAACAAAGAAGTGTGATAGGCTCCAAAGGTGTTTCCTTCTTTCTCCTTGAAGGGCTGGAAAGAAGATATACTATCCCCCAAAGGCTTCTGTAGATCTTTGTGGCAGAAAAGTGGCTCTTCATTGTTTCCTATTTCTTATGCTCCATTTGAAAGCTTCTACACATGACAGATGGGGAAGAGTTGTCTCCTCTGCTGTCTCTGCAGTGGGAGAAGGGAGATAAGAGATGTAGAGGAAGGAGACACTGTGACTGACTTGCCATCACTGTGTAAATAAGTGTCAAAGAAGTTTGCCATTTTTTGACTGTGAAGGCCAAGGTTGGCTTTGGGGATGATGATGCCATATTGGAATAAAGACAGCATCTCTTAACCATCTGCAGCCTTGGATTGCACTGGCAATTGTCACATTCCTTCTGATACTTGAGCACTCTGGTCCCTACTTGGTCCAGTAACACACAGCATCTGCATTTGTCTGTCTCAACTGAATGCACTGAGTGCTTGAGCCCAGGTCTGGCAAAGTCCCCAGCTCCCATTTATTGATGAATAAATGTGAGGAATTTGGAGCCTAAAACCAATTTTTGAGACTAAATAAGCTGTGGATTTTAACCACAGGCCTGTGTAGTGCCTACTGCACTTCTCTTAATCCACTTCAGTCTCTGCTCTCCATGCTGACACCACCTGTATTGAAAGACCACGTTCAAAGGATTTACTTAAAAGGCCCAGTGACCATGGTCCCAATCTCCCCACTATTTATTTTTCTTCAGAAAAATAATGCAGACTTTCTAACTACATATACTTTGAAGAAAAAGAACAGAGATGTTTTGTGGCTTTTTTTTAAAGGTAATTCACTATAAACATCTTTAATGTGACAGTGGTTGACTTCAAGGTATTCCAGAAATATTCTAGTAGGGTGACTGGTGCTGGAGACGTGATTGCAAATAGTGCTAGAATGGAAAAAACATTCCAGAAATCATATTCTCCTATGGCTCCATTTATATCCTAAGGCTGATACTGAGGATCTGAGTCAAAATATTCCTTGTCACTGCCTGCAAACATTCTGCAGTGCCAGATGAGGTTGTATAATAACTTCTTGTGTTCCCTGCAGGGAGAACGAGGGGAGAAGGGTGAGGAAGGCTTTCCTGGAAAAGCTGGCCCTAAGGTAAGGAATTTCACTTCATGGTTTCCCGTAGCCATCGAGTCAATTGAGGTGTGATTTTGGAAGGTCTTATACGTAAGTCAGGAGAGTAAGATTCCTTTAAATTTGGAGGCATAAGAGGATGAGCAGATGCAGCTCACCACCTCTCAAAGTTCATGATGTTCCAAAACACCAAACACTGTTTGCTGCTCCTCTCCCAAGTCTCTAAGCATAGTGAGATCTGTCCTGTCCCTCGTGTTGACTCCCTGTGGTCTGGGTTCCCAAGCCATCAAGAAGACAATTTCAGTACCTTATGGGAAGAAGATGGAACAACACAGGGCAGGACAATGAGGGACACAGTTTACAAAGAAAGTGTTCTTCCAAAAGTGTCAGGTCTTCGTAATTTTGAAGTTTTGCTTTTGTTTTTCCAGGGTGAACCAGGAAGCCGTGGCCAACCTGGTGAGCAGGTAAGAAGGCAAAATATTCTTAGCAGCAAGGCCTTCCTGTCAGAGTGATATGAAGTGACCACCCGCAATATAAAAGCTATTTGCTGATAACAAGATATGTGCATGTCATTTGCATCTGAAACTTAAGATGCAAGAGATGAGTGTATAAAACACATGGTTGGACAGAGCAATGCAAAAATTCCAGAAAAAAATAAATATGCTAAATCCAAATTTAATTGTATCCTGGAAAATACAATCATCATGTTCCTGGTGGATAGGGAAGAAAAGGAAAACAGAGTGGCTTAAAAGTTCTTGCTTTTCTTTCACACCTCATCCCTCTCTACACATCTCTTGTGAGACCCACCTGCAGTACTGTGTCCAGTTCTGGAGCCCTCAACATAAGAAGGACACAGAGCTCCTGTAGTGAGTCCAGAGGAGGGACACAAGGATAATCAGAGGGTTGGAGCAGCTCTGCTTTGAGGACAGGCTGAGGGAGTTGGGGTTATTCAGCCTCGAGAAGAGAAGGCTCCAGGGAGAACTTATAGTGACCTTCCAGTATCTGAAGAGGCTACAGGAAAGCTGGGGAGGGACTTTTTACAAGGGTTTGTTGTGGTAGGGCAAGGAAGATGGTAGATTGAGGTTAGACATTAGGAAGAAATTCTTTAGTGTGAAAGTGGTGAGACACTGGAAGAGATTGCCCAGGGAAGCTGTGGAAGCTCCATCCCTGGAAGTGTTCAACGCCAGGTTGATTTGTGCTTAGAGTATTTGTAGCAGTGTTCTTGGCATTTAGTACATTTGGCTTCTGCTTGTGACTGAGTTTGTGCCACTGCACTACAAATGCAGATAGCAGAACAACTACAGATAGGACACCACCTGGTTATTTTCAGATAACAAACTGTGTCAACCAGGAGTTAAATTGTACAATACTTGATGTATTTAGAACAAACCACATGGCACAGAGATCATCATTACTCCAATTGCAAGTATTATAAAGCAGAAAATAAAATATAATGTTCAAACTGAAATAAATCCAAATATGTTACAGTGCATCTGGAAAATTCTAGATCTGTTTGCCAGGTAACATCTGTACCATTCAAATGAATACAGTGCAGGTTTTGCATTTCCACAGTACACCAGATCATTAAATATGAAAATAAGTTAGGTCTGATTTTGTTTAGCTGCTTTTACTTGCTGGCTCAGTCCTGCTACCAAGCATGCAGAAAACATGCCCTAAATTCCACCTTGTCACTATTTTACTTGCTGGCTCAGTCCTGCTACCAACAAGCATGCAGAAAACATGCCCTAAATTCCACCTTGTCACTTAACAGCCAAAAAAGAGATGTTTTAGCTGTTATTTGAAGTAATGATTTTCCAAAAATGAGAAATTATTTGATAATCAAAATAATCCCATTCTCTCCCAGCAAACTACATCTATAATCAAAGCCATGAAAAAGCTGAGGCAAGTTCTGGCCTGCAGCATAGAGCATGTGTATCATGTTGTGACTGGGCAGCAAGAAGAAACCATCTGCAGTCTTGAGTTCTGAACGCTTCAGTCTGGTATCAGGCACACAAAGAGATAGTTAAATCAAGGTTTCATCCTCCCCAGCCAAAGGGCACTGTGACTAAATTCACTGTGGCCTACCCTGAGGACCAGACTTGATGCATTTTTAACTGACTAATGAGTGAGAGAGGAGTTGGCCCCACCGTTCTGCCTCTTCATTCTTAAATACATTTGAGAGTAACAGGATTTATTAGTAGAAGCCATGATTGATGCCTCTTCCTCAATTATGCACATGTTTTTGTCTTACTTTAAGGGTGAAGCAGGTCTTCCTGGTCTTCGGGGTTTACCTGGACTGAGAGGAGAAAAAGGAGACCAGGTGAGTGACTCTGAGCCACAGCTCAGGTTTTTTTTTACCATTTGGTGCCAGGAGAACTTATCAAGAACTTATCCCTTGGTGATATTCTCTCTTGGTGTGATTGCTGGTTTGGTGCCAGGAGAACTTATCAAGTGTCTCTTGGTGATATTCTCTCTTGGTGTGATTGCTGTGGTGAGCAGCTGATTGGTGTCCAGCAAAGTCACCAATTACCCCTTCCAAAAATGAGCTTTACTGCCTGGTGATTGTTCCTAATTGCAGTGGAGGTGCTAATGAACGGTGTCTACCTAAATGCAGAAGGTTATGGCTGATGCCATGCTGTCTGTGAGGCTGTAGAAGAGGGTCAATGCTCTTTAGGCCTCAATTTCAGAAATACCTGCCTGATATAAGGACATAAAAAACCATGAATAACAACAACAAAATTCACAGATCACACTTGTCACTGATCCCTGGAGAAGATCCGAGATGCCTGGATCATTTTATGATGGCTTGACTTCTACCCAAGTCCTGGTGTCTGCTGCTTCCTCTGGGTAGCTCCAGACCTCCAGAAGCATCTACATAATGGGAAATAACTGGATCAGGGGCCCAACAGTAAATTTTGCTGTGTAAATGAGGCCTGTACTCCTGATAACTAATGACATGCTTGAAGGTGATCAAGAAGGATCTAAATTCAACCAAGGTCTTATCGTTCAGTTTGCAGTATTATAGGTATTGTATAGTGTATAGATTATATATATTATCTCTTTATATAAAATCATAGGAATGTAGGTCAGATAGCTCCTATTTGAAAGCAAGTTAGATAAATTTTGTGAGTTCATTTTGAGGGGTACTCATATCATCCTTGCTAAGCATCTCACATGCAGGTGACCAGGCTACCTGGGCAAAGTAGAAAGGTCAGGACCAGTGAATGGATCATCCAGAAATCTTGTGTATAAACAAAACTGGTAATATCAATGTCCACTTTGGAACTTAACTCCTGTTTTGGTGCCTCTATTGTACAAATAGAAAAATAATCAAGTTTTAAAAATTTCATCAGGCTGTAGGATCTTCTACGTGTGAGTTATTTTAGGTTTGGTGATTTCCTTTCTGTGAACTTAATTGCTATTCATTGATTTTTGAAAAGTTAATTGCTTGCACTACATCTTGGAGGACAGGTAAGATCAACTGAAAATGTAAAATATTCTAGTGGGATTGGTGCAATCAGATCAAAACATATATTTCCTGCTTTCCTTCCCTATTTTTAGGGAGAAAAAGGAAAAGATGGTCTCCCAGGACTGAAAGGTGAAAGAGGAGAAAAGGTAAGTAATGAAAAAAGCATTCTCCTCCTTAGGCAAGAGGCAAAAAAAGACAAAGGGGCAGATACAAGTTATAGAGGAGAATATCCAAGGAAAATTAGAAATAATGGAAGACTTTTAGCTGAGCTTTACAGAGAAGAAACAGAAAATGCTGTGTATGAGATGAAGACAATAATTTCATGAGTAATGCAAGAAATAGTAAGCAGCTGGTGAAATCTAAGGACAGTTTCTTTAATTTGAGGAAACTTTTCTTTGTTTTACAATTGGCTGATATAAATGAGCCTGGAATTAAATTCTAAAGAAGTTTTTGTGCCTGCCTATGTTGTGCTAGAATAATAATTTATGGAATAGTCTGGGTTTCTGCCAAGACAGTACTATTAATTTCAGTGAAAATGAGAAAACTAGACAAAGGTGATGTCCACCAAATTTACGTTCACCCCCTGTGAACATGAAGGTGAATATGAAGCACTGGCCTTGCAGATTCCTATGTTTGTGTAGTGGAAAGTTTGCCCTCATTATAGTGGCAATAGCCATCAGGAAATGGGTACCACTTTGTTGTCCTTAGGATACATCAGCTCTCAGTTTACCAGTGACTTTCACCTTCTATCGAGGGGCTGATTCTTTCACGGGTGGTCAAATGACCTCTCCAATGAAGCACCAGAATCTCCTACGTCTGGGAGGTTAACAAATGTTTGTACTTCTTGGCTTGGAAGTGTCAGGGGGACTGACAGGAACACAATAGCAGCTAAGCCATCTGCACTAAAACTCTCATTAAATACTGCAGCAACACTATAGTTTTAACTAAACAATTAGAGGGTGAATTGGATGTAGAAACTTACATGTTTTATATAAAACAGAGGATCTTGATTTTTTCCATCCACAAAAGAAATTCAGCTAAAAGATGTTTTTCAATAGAGAACTCTGATCATCTTTAACTCAAAATGCAAATTAAGCTCCATATCATTCCTACACTGAATGGAGTAACATTAGAAATTCACTGCCCTGTGAAGTCAGGTCACTGATAAAGTCAGAAAGTGATAAACAAAATGGGAATCCTGCATGCAGCAAAACAAGGGCAGCAGAAATTCTGGCCAGAGCCGAGATGTAAATTCTGCCCATCAGAGAAGTGCTGTGGGATTAACAGTGTCACTGAGCTGACATGTTTCCATTGAGTGACATCTCATCTGGTAATGATGCATCTTTTAACTGATCATGTTGAGTTTCATTTAGGCATCTTTTGATATCCCTACTTATGTTTTTCTCCTCTCTTTAGGGTGACACGGGTTCCCCTGGACCACCAGGCTTACCTGGAACAGTAAGTAAGACTGTGTTCTGTGCTGTAACATTATTCAAAGCATCATCACACTTCCTCCACACTAATTCCTCAGAAGCAAAGCTTCTCAAGATCTTTGCTTCTCTGCAGAATGTTTAGGACCACTTTACTCTAAGATGAACTCCCTTTGCTTCAGAGGAGCAGTATCCAGTTGTGTTTAGTCTTTATTTTTGGAGGAGGTTGTGCCCTCCTCTGCCCCTTTGCAAACAGTATTTTTTGTATGCCCTTACCTTGTGGTAGCACTTAAATTGAATTTGTGATTTTTTTAGCAGCTCTGGGAGCTGCCTGAAGGAGGTCATGGCTGAACACAGGGAGTACATTCATACAGATTTTCCAAGGCAAACTAGATTTTTCCCACTGGGATCTCAGGAGAAGACTCACTCTCGACAGGTATCAGTGAGCAGCAGCTCTTCTTGGGGAAAGATTCACCTTTTTCCAGTAACATCAGAAGGTTCCACTTCTCAAAGACATGAACTTCTGGGTAAAGGATTCAGCTTCATTGGTGCTGTAGCCTCCCAGAGCCTCCATGGTGTGCAGTCCCATGCTGTGCTGTAACCCCAGGAAGATCCCCTCATCCCAGAACTCACTCAGGGTTCAGCTCTGGATCCAGCACACAAATCAGTAGCCCTGCTGCTAATTAAAAAGATATACTTCAAAATAATAATAAAATAAAATAAAAGACCAAGAAAATGTCAATCCATTGTTTTAAAAATGAGTCTACAAAAGTACTTTTGGGAGCTTGAGCATAATTACAGTGAAGTTCACTGGCAACTAAACCAGCATCCACTGAGTGTAAATAGATAAACCTGAGTTGTCTCTAGCAAAATCTGAGTAAGCAGCTTGGAGTAAACATTAGGAATGGCCTGACATTGCAACAGGAGGGCTGATGCCAGTCACAGATCCTCCAAAACATGGCATATATCCCCTGGTCAGCTTTGCTCACCACAGCTGGTTACATCTGCCACGTTCACAGGTTATGAAGAGAAATTGAGTCAAGGCCTGTTGGTGAAAATTAAAGTGCCCACTGACCTTCATGAAGTAATAGAGGAGGACTTAATTTATTTCCTGCCATCAGTTGGGTCTTATTAGTCTGTGCCAAACTGTGCTTCATGGTATCGTGTGGAAAGACTCCATGTGTGTCACATAAGAATGATCCAGTCAGAACATCAAGGATAAATCTGTCTTAGTAAAGGCAGAGAAGGCAGCTTGCAAACACAGTGCAAGATACAGAGAAGATATGTCCAGCTGCTCAAGCTTCCTGTGTTTGTAGGGAGAAATATTTTCTATTTCAGCCGTGAAAGTGGGTGATGATTTCTACACTTCCACATGTCATCAAGGACTACATTTTTCTTGCTTATTGTATCACTTTTGATAAATGATACTGCCTCTCTCTACAAAATTTGATCCTTTTTTGGTTGCTAATCCTTCAAGATGACTATGTAATCCCCAGAACAACTATATTGAGTTGTAAATGGTTTGTATGTGGTTCTAAGCAGAGAGACAACACACCAAGCTCAGCCATGGAGTAGGGAAATTTAATAATAGTGAGGATGGCTCCAAGTGGGAAAGTAACCTGGAGATTGCTAATAGTTCAAGGTTAAGCTTGTTTAATTTTCCATAGCAGTGAGACATTCAGGTTGCTTTTGAGTTCATGTTCATATTTCAGATGCTCTAGGAAATGTCTGATATGTGTGGGCTTTTTTCCAAACAGCCAGATGTTACAATGAGCTGCTCATTTATAAACCTGCTGATGGATTTATGGAATGTGTATTCTGTAGTGACGAGGAGAATACATAAGTTATTGCATTTCAAGGAAAATTGGCAATGCTTCTTTTAACAATCCTGCCTCTCTTCCAGACAGCCTTCTTCACCCCACACCCTAGGATTCCTGTAAGTAACATCTCTAACAAACATGACCTCTGGCTTATTGCCTCTTGTCTCTGATGGGACACACAGCACCTTGGTATTTTCCATGTTATTTAAATGCTTTCAGTAAAGAACTCAGCTTGAGTCTGGTTCACCAGTGTGACAAAGTCATGATGCCCACAGCTGTCCTGGTTACAGCAGAATCCAAGCCAGCTGGGGCTAGGACATAGCTGTGTGCTAGCCCAGCCTCTTAAATGAAGTTTAAAATTAAGTTTTATGTCCCACTTGCAGCTCATAGTGGGAATTATCTGGCATTACCTAGGATCACACCATTGGAATGTGAATAAACTTGTTAAGGATCAGGAGGCTTTACAGCATGGATAAATGGCAGAGGTAGGCTGGAAGAGTGCCACTAAAAAAAAAAGTGCATATGCCAGGTTCTTCAGAGGCTGAGGAAGGAAATTTTTATTTCTTTGGGTCTCTTTTCCCCTTGGCTCATAGTTTGTTTATATAAATACTAAGGAAGTAGAACAATGACATCTTGTATAGTCTTTGCAGTACTACAGTCACAGAAGGAGTTACCTTGTTTACTTGAAGTTTGTTACTCTTGTAAATGAGCTGCTAGACAGTAAAGAATAAAAGGCCTGAAGTGTGTCAGAAGGCCAGGTCGCTGGGATATCTCCATGTTCAAGATGAATGTGGTGATGCTTTCTGTAGCACAGGTCAGCACTTAGTACTGCAAGGTGTGAGAGGAGAAGGGGAGGGAAGAATAATGGGTAATAAGATACCTTCGATTTACAGCTTTACAGATTAAGGTGTCAAGACGTAGTGATAAGCCTTAGCAAAGTGTGGGTAATGATAGGCTGCAGGACCTGCAGAGTGCTGAATGATCATAGATTGGTTTGGACTGGAAGGCACTTTAAGGTTCATCTAGTTCCAACCCCATGCATGGGCAGGGACACCTCCCACTAGACCAGGTTGCTCAGAGCCCCATCCAACCTGGCCTTGAACACTCCCAGGGATGGGGCTTCCACAACTTCCCTGGGCAGCCTGTTCCAGTCTCTCACCACCCTCACAGTGAAGAATTTCTTCCTAATGTCTAAAATAATTTTCCCCTCTTCCAGTTTGAAGCTGTTACCCTTGTCCTGTGGCTACTGCCCTTACAAAGAAGTCAGACTCTCCAAAACACACTACTTGCCGTTGCTTTCCATTGTCTATATGTGGCACAGTAACAGGGAGCAACTTACAGAGATGGAGACAGGATCACAGCCTGGATAGAAGGCTATTAGATAGAAGGCTAACATTACTCTGTTTACTTATTACCAGTTAAAGTCAATTTTATTTAAAACACACCTTAGTGGTTGTCAGAAATGGAAAGTCTCTGACCAAGTGAGTCTTAGTTCCCATTTTCCCACCACTCCATTGGGTGTTTTGGGTGCAGTCTGTGCTGGGAGCTCTGCAGCAACTCACTGATGCAGCAGAAGGGGGGTCTGCTTCTTCCATGGGGTGCAGGGAACTTTTTCATGTTTATTTGGGCCAGTGAGTTAAAATCATTAAATTTTTCTTGGAGATGAGGTGTGCGAGGACCACGGTGGTCAGGTGTGATGGTTGGGTAGAGGCAAAAGTGGCAGATGACTCTTCCCTTAGCCTTCTACCTCCCACTACAGCTGGGCACAGCTGAGCCCCCACTACCTTTGTTGCAGAGGACCCTTTGCTTGAACTTGAGGTGGTCCCGTTATCTTTCTAAAGGCCACTAGATGGCACAAGGGACTGCCTGATGAAAAGCTGCTCCAACGAGGTGCTACTTGTAGAGTAAAATTCCTCCTATTATTTATCACATATGATAATATTTATTCGTAATGCATAATAAATACAGACATGAGTAATATTTATGCAGTTACATTTATTTAGTCTGTTAGAGAATCATTTGCAAATGGACTTTGAATTCCCAGGTGTTGCAGAAATGATTAGTAAAATAGCTGATGCGAATAAAATTCAAGCTGATTTGTCTTGGGCTCTGCATTTTGACTGATCAATATTCCTTGTGTGTGTGTGTATCCTTAATCACTGATGTTCTTCCTCTTCCTTGATTGCATAATTGAAACACCTTGTATGATAAATAATGAATAAGTAATTATTGCTGTTGCCTGAATACATATATTCATATAAATATCCAAATGTGAGTATTCATGTACTGCCTGTTTTGTTCCAACTAGTTCCAGAAATGTGTGCTCTTCCTTTTCAATTTATAACAAGAAAAAATATGGACTTATTATTATTCTAAAGCTCAGAACAAAGCTGATGAACTTCTGTCTGAAAGCATCTCCAATTTACTGTAAGGAGAAAGAACAGGAATAAATTAATCCTATTAATCAGTGATGGTGGTGCATGAAATAATGTATTGACATTGCAAGAGGGAGGGGGAGTTGCAGGAATGTATGGAGATGTTAACAGAACTAGAGATCAGGAAAAGCTGGGTACATCCCTGGAAAGATGTACAAGCTCAAGATGAAACCCTGAACATCCCTCTCTTACAGGTGGAGTAGGGACCTGTCTGTACATGGCATAATTTCCTCAACTGTAGGATGACTTTAGGGGTTGGACTAGATGATCTTTAAAGGTCCCTTCCAACCCAAACCATTCTGTGATTGATTCTGTGACTTTAGGCCAGCTGTCCTACAGACAGGCAGTGCAGTGGTGCTGGTGCTTTTGCTCTGGGTCATATTGTCTGGCCTTGTAAATCATTGAAGGTAAAATGCTCAAGTTTTGGAATGGTGAATTCTTTAACTACTTTTCTCTCTGAGGGAAAACTGCCCTCTCTTTGAATTGAATATTTTTGCAATTGGCATCATAACAGTTTCAGAAGTCTAGACAAAGGTCTCAAAATCTTTGTATGTGACATAGATAATTTCAATTCACTGTCCTCAAAGTCCATTGAGGAAGCTGCTCTGTGTCAGAAATGGACAACTGATTGAAAGAGCTTTCTTACCAAACAGGACCAGTGTGACTTCCAGCCATGAAAGAGCTTTTATTTCTCTCTCTCTTTTTTGCTTTACATCAGGGTGAACCTGGACCAAAAGGGGAGAAAGGAGATCAAGGAACGAGTGGAGAACCTGTAAGCACAGCCAAGTGTTTCTTCAGCTGGTGTTGAACTTTAGCAAGGGGAGAACATGAGAGCTGCCTGTTTCTGAGGGAGAGGGGGGGACACATACTCCTTTCATATTTTGGATGCTTCCCAAATCAGAAATGGATACAGTGGTTCTTGGTTTTGTATTGACTGTACAGGAAGCTAGATGGCTACATGAAACTAAGCACCTAATTTATAACTCTGGGTCTTAGTGGCTGAGAAGAGGACTAAGGGGTTTGCCAGAGTTTGGCTGACAGCAAGACTGTGCAGGGTTTATTTTTAAGGGCTTTTGAAGTGATGTGGCTCAGGTAAACTGTGCATTTGGCTTACCCATTTGTATTCTGCCTTGCCCTTCTTCTGGATGGAGCCCTCAAGAGAGACAGTCTTGTGCAGTCACAGCCACTGTAAAAAACACCCTTTCTTCTCTCAGTGAGAAAAAGAAGAAACATCTCCTTTTGCTCAGGAGGAAAAATGAGAAATTTCCTTCAGGTCCTTCACATCTACCCTTGTTTTTGCAGGGATTACCTGGGGTCCCAGGTGAACAGGGTGTCCCAGGACCTGCAGGACTACCGGTAAGAGGGCCCAGCCTTGAATAAAATCTTCTGCATCGTCAGCAAAGGGTGCTTTCAAGGTCTATATCACTGTAAATATCTCTTCCCCTACATGCCAACACCAACAACCCATTTCTTCCTTGTTGTAAGATCAGTGACTTCTGCAGAGGTATTTACTTATGCTGACCATCAGGACGACATGAGGAGAATCAAAGCAGAAACATGACATCTCTGTAGGATGATCAGTGTTGTCTGAAGGACTCCTTCCAACTTCAGAAGCCTTCTAGAGGGCATCTTTTACTGATGCCACTAAAGCAGAGGTCTCACAGATACAGTACCTTGTCAAAACATTGCAGAATGTTCAAATTCAGCCCCAGCCTGCTTGACCCTGAAGGCTCTATGGCTCATGTGAAATGCTTCTACAATCCCAGTTATCTTCTGAAAATTTCTTGACTCACCCATACTGTTTCCAGTCATCACCGAGGTCAACATGGGAGGGTGTTCACTCTGGCATCATCTGTGCTGTGCCCAGGCCATATAGTCAGCTATTACCTGGGCATCAACAGCTTGAACAGGTTAACAGCAGTCTTAGCATTACGAAAAAAATGTGTAATACCCTGCAACTTCTAACTAACATCTGCTCAGTGGGGGACTGATCAGTGAGTATACTCTGTCCTGCCAAAACCCTTAAGAAAGGGCTACTTGGCATGTAGGACGTGGACAAACCCTCTGCATTGTGATCTATTTTGACCATTTAAAACTTCCTCTGTGCACAGAGATCATCAGAGTTGAGCTGGTAGTGAAGTTGCTGGTAGGCCTGAGGGTGGGAAGGAGTTTCACCCAGATGGGTGTCTGCAAGTTTCAGCATCCTGTGCTGAGAAATAGCCTCTGAGCTGACCAGTCATTAGTAATTCTTATGTTTCAGGGTTTTGTTTTTATATTTTATTTTCTCACTGCACAGAGAACTGGAAGCCATTTCCTCAGCTGTTAAACTCCTCTGTGAATTGATTGACGAAAACCACTGCCTAGTGCAGGTTCAGGCATCCTGAAGTTTTTTTATCTGGCAGGCAGTCCTGTCCCATCGCTAATCAGCTGATGTGTCTCCACTTTTCTCACAGGGCACAAAGGGGCAGAAAGGAGCCCGAGGTGAAGCTGGAGCCCCTGGAGAGACAGTGAGTAACTGCTTACTTTGCAGCATTTTTCCCTGACAGTGACATACCTGAAGGGTGTCCCCTGAAGGAGCTCTGAAGCCATTGCCTTGCAGATTGGCAGTCTCAGGCTGCTTGGGCTCAGGGCACATCCTAAACTGCAGCTGGAAGAGTTGCTGCTTGTGGGCAAACAGGCCTGGCTGTGTCAAATAGATCATTGTCCCAACCAGCCAGCTCCAAATTGTGCCTCTTTTGTTGGCCAAGTCTCTCCCTCTCTAACAAAATTCCCTCTTTGCTGGGAGCTTGTTCCTGCACTGCAATATCAGCCAAGCTCAGGCAGCAGCTGGTGCAGGGGCCTCACTGCTCATCCCAGCTTCAGTTAAATTTTTATTAACAGTTGGTTTTAGACTTCTTAGTCAATTCTGCTTTATTTACCTAGCAGAGGAATCACCACATACTGCTTTTTGAGGTGTGTGTTGCAGGGAATGCTGCTGTTGTCTGACTGTGTGCTAAAGAACAGCAAAGGATTCAGAATCTATTTTATTATTTTCAGAGTGTATAAGGCCTTTGTGGCAGAATAAAGAGCCACTAAAGAGCAGAAAAGGAAAACTGAAGAACTATTTGCAATAACAACAGAGAGAATAGGATATTTGTGTTTGGGAGAAGGAGGGAATAGGAAATCCAAATGAAACATCCTAGAGCACTGAAGCTTCTTCTTCCGCCTTTGTGTTCATTGTTTTCCTTCTTGGGCTTGTGCTTAGATGTTGTTTCTAGCAGTGCTTTGTCCCTAAACTCTGAACTCCCTGTCCCCAGCTCTCTTTCACTGTTGTTTGAAGGACTCCTTAATCTTTTGGGGAGGTAAAATATGACAAAAAAAAACCCTTCCACCAATCCTATCAATTTTTAAATTTCTTTACTTTTCAACCTGATGGCTCAGAGGATGTTAATGATATGGAAATGCAGGTCTATGTGGGCACCTTTTATTTTTTTTTGCCAAAATTTCACAGATTGCCACTACTCCAGATGTTTCTGTTGGCTCGTAGACCAGTGGCTATAGATAACACAGACATGAGGAAACCTTTAATTCTCCTTTAGTGAGCCAAGGGCAACAGGTAGACATTCACTTTGTGAAGAGTTATGCTCTGGAAGATTTTCATCACCTCCCAGATGTTTGCCTTGTCCTTCTATAAGATATTACTGTCCAGCCCTTCCAGTAGAGGAGGTTTCTCTGTATTCTACTTCAAGTCAGATTATTTCAGTCTGCTGGTGCAGAATTTTTTAGATAGTCTGTCTGGTTTAGTCCTAAATGGATTAGACATGCTGATATAAATCCTTTCCCTTGCAAAGCTGTGACAACAGGTGAGCCTTGTGTAATGCAGGGTGACAAGCAACTACAGAGGAAGCAACTTCAACTTGCAACAGTGAAGTATAAAGGAAAATGCCTACATTTAGCCTGATAACCCAAACATGCATTTCTATGGTGACATAAATCCCCAAATATGTGTCCTCACATGTCCCCCATGCATTTCTGAGAACACACATGAGCCTTCCCACCTTAATAAGCTTTTGCTTGCAGACAGAAGAGACCTACAATTCAGAACTACAACACTCTGAATGGTTTGTGCTGTTCATCTGTTTAGTGGGTTTTGATCCTCACAGTACAGAAAGGTAGAATTGTCAGAAAGGCCTATTTTGTTGACCTAGATGTTTATTTTAATAGAAAAACCAGCATACTTTCCTCTGTTCTTTTGATGTTTCAGGCCCAGAATTTTCTCAGCTAGTTTTCGAATTTATTTTAATTGAATGTAATTTTAGGCTCCCAAAGAGAGTCTTCATCTATTTTGTATTGTTTCATGATTCTTTACACTACAGAATGTTTCACAAAAATGGTGGGTTTTGCTTTATGACTTACATGAACTCCAATCTCCCTTGGAATAACTTGTTCCTGTGGTGGGGCAAGTTTTGAATGACATATGTACACACACTTCATTTTCTTAAAACAGGGTGTGACTGGACCAGCAGGGCCCCCAGGTCCAAGAGGCTTGCCAGGAAATGTGGTATGTATGCACGAGTGTATTTGCTTTCCCATCTGTCCCCTGATTTCTTTATTTAATATGTTTGGGTTTCCCTTCTACAGGGTTAACTATCAGGTTCAAAAGTCTGTGTTTCATGACACTATCTTTATGGTTGAACTGAAAGATCTGGAAGCACCTGGAATTGGCCTATCCAGGAAACATGTTTTCATATTCATTTGTAGCAAAAGGGAGTCATGGAGCTGCTTCACTCCTCACCAAATTGTCAAAAGCAATTTTTACTGCCAGCTCTTCAAGAGAAAAACTGCATTGTTTGTTGTCTCTCTAGTTTTGTTTCCTTTGCCTCATTTTCTTTTGTCCTTTCCTTTTGAAAACTTGATTTCTTGATATAAAAATTGCATTGTAAATTGCTATTTTTATTATGAAAGGATGTATCAAGAATAGTGTGCCCAGCTGGACTAGGGCAGTGATTGTCCCCCTGTACCTGGCACTGTTGAGGCTGCACCTTGAATCCTGTGTTCAGTTTTGGGCCCCTCACTACCAGAAGGACATTGAGCATCTGGAGTATGACCAGAGAAGGGCAACCCAGCTAGTGAAAGGTCTGGAGTCTTCTGGGAAGCAGCTGAGGAAACTGGGGACATTGAGCATCTGGAGTATGACCAGAGAAGGGCAACCCAGCTACTGAAAGGTCTGGAGTCTTCTGGGAAGCAGCTGAGGGAACTGGGGATGTTTAATCTAGAGAAAATGAGGCTGAGGGGAGACCTTGTTGGTCTCTCCAACTACCTGAAAGGAGGCTGAAGAGACATGAAGATTTTATCTCTTCCTCCAAGTAACAAGCAGTAGAACAAGAGGAAATGGCCTCAAGTTGTGCCAGCACAGGTTTAGATTGGACATCAGGAAAAATTCTTTACTGAAAGGGTTGTCAAGCTTTGGACAGGTTGCCCAGGGCAGTGGTGGAGTCACCATCCCTGGAGGGATTGAACAGAAACGTAGATGTGGTGCTGAGGGATGTGGTTTAGTGGTGGATTTGGCAATGTGCTAGGACTTGATGGTCTTAGAGGTCTTTTCCAACCAAAATTATTCTATTCTATTCTATTCTATTCTATTCTATTCTATTCTATTCTATTCTATTCTATTCTATTCTATTCTATTCTATTCTATCCTATCCTATCCTATCCTATCCTATCCTATCCTATTCTATTCCACTCCACTCCACTCCACTCCACTCTAATTCTGCATTTGATCCTGCAGTCAGAGCTTTGAAATCAATATAATGTCCTGCTTTTCTCAGAAGTTTATCACCATTATGAAGTTGTGCATGATAGAACTTTTCATGTTTGCAAAAAAATCTTTGCACTAACTCTAATCCCTTCCCCACCAGTGTTTTCTTTCTACTGCTGGGTTTTATCTGGGTTTACACCAGAGTAAGTGAGAAATACCACCTATATCCCATTTTATGAAGTATTCAGACACAGTGGTTTAGCACAGAGGGCTCTTAAATACAGAGTTTATTACCTAGCAATCCAAGAAATCTAAAATTGCCTTTCTACTAATTGGTAAGATAAATTTGATTTATTTGTATTAATAAAGCAATTTAATTTTAAACTGAAAGATGATATCAAAAAAGACCTTTTCTGATTTCATATTCCTTCCAGCAAATTTCTATACCAGTAATGCTAATATATTACCTATAAAAGCTACTACAGCTGGAAATAATTTTAACTGGTGCAAAAAGGAAATTTATGATTGTATCCATCCTGTGAGAAGGTCAATCCAATCTTACTAGTGTCAAGACATCATTTCACATCTTAAAATGAAGCCCCTCTCTGTAATGTGTCTTGATGAATTAAGAAGTTACGGGGTTTAATTTGGAGCTCCAAATAATCTGTATTTTGACAAGGAATCCTTTGAGTTCTGCCCAGAACTGAAAAGGATTGAAAACTGAAATAAAGAGTAAAATGAACATGGCTGTGTTTTCCAATGTATATCTTTGGAGAGCAGCAGCCATCAAAAAAAAATAATAATAATAATGGCTTATCTTATACAGAGGTGATGATTGAGGGTTGGTTGGTAATGGATTAGGAACTGCTCAGGATTTTACAGTGTGAAAAAAGTAGTTCAAGAAAGAAAATGCACAACTCTGGGATTAACTCAATTTCTCCTTTTGCTGCTCAGCTCTTTTTTATATTGAAAAACGTAACTCAAAGCTTTAAGTACCTGGTGCACAGCTCTTCTGTGGTGTTCTTTGGATTACAGGTTGGCTGTACTGGGAAATGTACAACTGATACTGATCCTTGAGACAGATTGTACTGAACCCACAGGTCTATCCATTTACTTTAGGATCAAATGCTGCCTTAAAAGAAAGTTTTAAGCTGTAAAATTCTTTTCTCTCCAGGGTGTGCCTGGAAACCCTGGATTACCAGGAAAGGAGGGAGAAAAGGGGGAAAAGGTGAGTTTGATCTTTCATGGATCTTTTTTTTTTCTTCTTGGGCATTTTAAGTAACCTGAGACAGAAGAAGTCTCATCTGGGAAATTTCATAAGTTCATGGATAGTTAAGACACGTGGGCTCATGAGATAATTTTTTCTGACCTCCTCCATTACACATGCTGTAAGGTTTTCACCCTGTTGCAGCTTTATAATTTACCTAATAAAACCACTGAGGTACAACTGGAGACAGTGAAATCACTGCTACATGTTTATGCCATGATGATCTTCTCCTGTACTCAATGCCTGATGAGAGCAGGATTTGGTCTTTTAAATACCTCCTGTTCACCACTGTAAATACAAAGCTGGAAGAAAAACTGGCTTTCATGGTTAGGAAACTGAGATTTCTGCTTTCCTGGTAAGCTGTTGTAATTGGACCATTAGTTCAGCTTTCTAGTCTATCCTGACCTTTTAAGCTGCCTTGCCTGTTATGTCCCATCTCATAGCCAGGCAGTGAACTCTTTGAGGTAAAATATTTGCAATTTGCTCATATGTTTCTCAGTGCCCAGCATGCTGGAGTCCTGATATTTGTTTGCTGAAGTAGCCCCTGCAGTAAAATCATCTTCCAGGTTACTGAGATCTACCTCAGGGTCATGTGTTGTCCAAGGGCTCCCTCATAGAGCTGGTTCCCAAAACATTTTGAAATGTCATTTTACTTTCCCTGAGGAAAATTACAAGTGCCTTGGAGTTACTGAAGTAAAAGGCTTCCCTTTACAGGGGGTTTCTCGTGATTCCAAGTAAAATTGAGATGAGGCTAGAAAAACCCCTTATCTTTCAGTCCCAATGAAAGACCTGAGACAGGAATGGTCTTACTGCATCCAGTTCTGGGCTCCCCAGTTCAAGAGGGACAGGGATCTACTTGAGAGGGTCCAACGGAGGCTACAAGGCTGATGAAGGGACTGGAACACCTGCCTTGTGAGGAAAGACTGAGAGACCTGGGGCTTTTCAGTCTAGAGAGGAGAAGACTGAGAGGAGATCTAATTAATGTTTATAAATACATGAGGGCTGCGCATCAAGAAGGCAGGGACAAGCTCTTTTCACTTGCACCCTGTGACAGGATGAAGGGCAATGGGTTAAAGCTCGAGCACAGGAAGTTCCACCTAAACATGAGAAAGAACTTTACTGTGAGGGTGACAGAGCCCTGGAACAGGCTGCTCATAGAGCTTGTGCAGTCTCCTTCTCTGGAGACTTTTGAGACCTGTCTGGATGCCTTTCTGAGTGATCTACCCTAATTTTTGGTCCTGCTGGGGTCCCTTCCAACACCGACCCCTAACATTCTGTGATTGATTTTGTGATCTATGTGCTGATAACAGTTTTGCTGGATGGTATTTTACAGGGTGATCCTGGAAAAGAAGGAAAAGGGGGTTTGCCTGGGCCACGTGGTGAGCCAGGGCCTGCTGGAGAGCCAGGTTTGCCTGGTAAGGGTAAAGATGGAGAAGAGGTGAGTACTGCTGGGAAGCTCTGCCTCGGAGTAGTTTGATGTGGGATAAACAAGCATGACTTCTGCAGAAGAATCATGGATTTTTGGCAGAGTTAGGCTGCATGGTGACAAGTGCTCACAGGTGCTCACAAGTGCTCACTACTGATGACATGAAAGACCTGGTTGTGCAAAATGCTGCAGATCACAGCAATGCATCCAAAAAGGCAGAGAGAACTGGAGCTGTGTTTCTCTCAGCATGCCATGGTGGCCCTTGAAGATGGACACGTCCACAAGGAGTACCCATAGTCCTTATGACCAGTACAAAAATGCTTAGCTTGTTGGAAGTTCCCTAAAAATACTAAAGTACAGCTGAATCAGCAGGTTGTTTCATTTGCTTACATGTTACCAGTAAAACATGACCTTTAAAGGTCCCTTCCAACCCAAACTATTAAATGATTCTAAGGAGGTTGGTGGTGGGGATGCTTGATGCTTTGACTGTCTCAAAGTCCAGGCTCCTCTTTGGCTGCATGGTGACTCTTCTCTGGTTTTGGCTGTCTCACTTTAGGGGCAGAGAGGCCCACCAGGTTTGCCAGGACCCTTTGGACCTAAGGTGAGTATGGGTGTTATTCCTTCTCTCCATCGCTGCAACTGGAGAAAAGTTAGAGTGAAAACATGATCAGTTTTTCACTGGAAAATAGAGTTTGTGAAGCTTTCACTCAAAAATGCACTTCTTTAGGGGGTTCCTTTCTCTATTATTCTAATATGTCTACAGATGTAAATGTTATTATATGAATTAGCTCTGTTCACTGTCCATTTCTTCCAGCATTTTGTGAATTCAAATAACAGACTAAGGACTAAATGCTCTTTTTCAGGGCAGTTGAGACTGGAGACATTTAATCCATACAGCAAGAGAAACATTTAATAGCTAAAGGATGACCTAGTCTTAGACTACCTGTCAGCCCCTCAAAGAGCAGCCCCCTGCTTCCCTTCCTTCACCTCTCTCAAGGAGGATATGAATTATTTTCCCATGGGACCAGATAGTCCAGGTTTGTCCCCCTATTCTGTAGTTAAGACCAGCTGGCAGGTTAAGTTAATGACACTAATTTCAGCTGAAAATAATGTTTATTCCCTTCCAAGTACGAAATACATAGAGAAATGAAGCAAACAGCAGAAATGTTTGCTTCTGGGAGTATCTGGATTGTGCTTGAATCTTCAATCAGATATGTGAGAAATTCTTCTCTTTGAAATGACCATATCCTGATCTGGAATGGAAGAAGACTAGGATGTTGAAGTGGATTCTGTAAACTGGACAAGAAGGAATATAATAGTATGAGATGAGGTCCATCTAAGTTCTGTATTTTTTTAAATAACCAAATTGCTATGAAGTGTTTTCTTGTGGTTTTGTTGCATTCTGTATAAATGCATTGTACTCTGTTATGTGTATCTCTGACAATTCAGAACACACAGTAATAGTCTGAGAACTAATATAAAAGTCAGAAAAAAAAATCTGAAAAAAACCTCATGAAATACTCTATTCAATATCAACACAAGATGGTAAGAATCTTAATTGTTCATGGGAAAATACTATTGAACTTTTTTTGTATTGAAATTATGTTCTTGAATAAAATAACAGATAAGGGATCTGCTGGAGTGTTTGAACTAATCAGAATACATTTTCTCTTACTGTCCTTGAAGTATTATTTCTTTGTAATATAAGATTAGTTTAAGAAGAAAGAAAGGAAAGGAAAAAAGTTAGGAGATATTGCAGACTGAATTTTGGGTGGGCTGAATCCATGGGTAACAATTTTTCTATCGTGCCTCTATATAACTGGAAATGGTGTAATAATAAAGAACAGACATAAGATTGTTATAAGTCTGCTGCCAATGTGAGGCTGAATCTCACAACTGCAATACAATCCATAAAAGCCTTACTTGGTTTCTCCCTATAACAAGACAAAAGATGTTAAATTTAAGTATTGCAGCTGAATTCTTTCTTAACCCTCTGTCTGCAATGTCTGTTAAATGCTGTAAAGTATTCTCTGTGTTCTGCAGGTTAGGTTTGGCTGCTGAAAATCCTGTTTACTAGAAGTGGCATCTCTCCTTTTATAGTACAGTCCTCTAGAGAGTGTGGTAGAACTGTTAATTTCTATTTTTTTTCCCAAAAAGTTCTTCGTACATTTATGTGAGAAGGCCCTCGTTGGCAAAGGGGAACATGAAGATGTAACTAAACATCCTTAAGTCTTTCTTCCCCAGATAAATACTCTGTGTTTAGGAAAGTTTGCAGGTTAGTCATCTCCCATAGGAACACAGAGAAAGAAAAGCATATGGTGCTTGGCATTTTCCCAAGCCAAGGAGACCATAGGAACACAGAGAAAGAAAAGCATATTATGGTGCTTGGCATTTTCCCAAGCCAAGGAGGGCGCCCCACACCCTGCAGGCAGTTGCAAATGCTGGGAAGTGGATGCTCTCTGATAAAATAAATTAAAATACTTGTAGAGGCTCTGTTCCTGCTCAGTGATGTGATATGTGTGAGATGTGTGTGAGTGCTCACAGAAAAGGGCTGGGGTTGGTGGGACGGAAGGGACAACTTTCTTGGCATGATGTGACTGTAGCTGTGCCATATCCCATGGTGCCACCACCTAAAACCATTCCTCTGTGGGCAGGATCAGGTCAGGATGCATCAGTGTTATAGTATCTCATAAAAACCCGATTGCATTTCAGCACATGTTCTCAGCAGTGTACAAAGCCTGTGATTTTCTCCTCTGTTTCAGGGTGAGAGGGGAGTTCCTGGCCTGCCTGGACTGCCAGGAGACAGAGGCGTGCCAGGAATCGGGCTGGCTGGACCCCCTGTAAGTAGCAAGTCCTGCTGCAACCTGTAACAAGGCAAAAACTTACCCATGGCCACGTGGGAGAATGCATTGCCTGTGCGCAGCTGTGCAAAGAGCTGTGGGACATTTTACCCTCTGAAGATGCAAAGCAAGATGCTGTTTGTGGCTCAGATGTCTACACGTCTGTTATGAGGCCTCTGGATGTGTTCAGTTTTAGTTGAAAGGCAGAAAAATGCTCTAGGAGTGATTGATACCATTGACTGTTACTCCTGACTTTTCTGCCTCATCTTCACGTGATGGCTGTGGATGTGAGTCGAGATCTGTGCTGAGCCAGCAGGTCTGGTCCACTAGGCAGACATAACCTGGATGTCTCCCTGTTGGAAGAGATGAGTGTGACACACCTGCCCACCTCAGTGACATAGGCAATACAAATTCAGGGAAATACAAAATCAGATTGCTTAAATTGCTGCCTTCCAAGAGAGCCATTGTCCCCATACTTTCCCACAAATATTTAGTTGGACCTCATCCATCTCTGCCCTCACCTCCTGCTTATCAGCAGGCCACGAGGTGTGTCTGGGAGTCTGCTCTGGAAAGTCTGGCTTTTCATATCTCAGAGGTTCTGTGATTCTAGCACCTGTAGCTGTACAACTCCTCTTTAGATGAGGGGGATTTGGAAGTGTTCTGACTGTAGTTATCCTAAGAGTTCCTCCAGCTCAGAATTCAACCTTTATTCCTAGCTGTAATTGCTAGAGGACATCTGAGACCTTGCATTCTTTTGCAACCCCTTGTATGTGCCATGATACTGTACCAGTCACAGTCAATGCTTTCATGCTCGGGTAGTCTAGATTAAAGTTCCCCAGTTAGTACAAGAAATTACCTTGAAATGTTAAGTCATGTCGTTGTTCAATACTGGTTGACATATCAAGCTTTCTGAGGTGTGTCTCCACTTAATATTTGCTTTACCATGCTGAATACTATACACAGTAAAGCAGACTGGATCACTCATGGTTCACATGGTGACTGGGTCATGGCCTTCATGGTATTTATATGGTTATTGATGACTGAAGGTTTGCTGGGTGTTACTTGTTATGATTTATCTAAAGAACAATGATGTTCTTGCATTTCTTAAAGTTCAGTCACTAATATTCAAATTAAAATGAAATTAGCGAATTACTATCTGGCTTGTTGGAGTCACAAGGCTGTGGCTAGTTTTTAATTACTGCTTTTTATATTCAGTAAAGGGGAAGATGAGTTTACTTCTGCATCCTGAAGTACACGAGACAACAAAGTTAATCTTCATACTCCATCCCTGGAGGTTTTTAAGGCCAGATTGGATGAGGTTTTGTGCAACCTGGTGTAGTGGTGGGGTTCCCTGCTCATGGCAGGGGGGCTGGAACTTGATGGTCTTTAAAGTCCCTTCCAACCTTAATGATTTTATGACTCTATGATTCATTGGGGCTTTAGCTTCTGCATATCCATGAATACAAATGGCTGAGAACTTGACTGCAAATTTAGATATCACTTGTCTCACATCAGAAGATTAGTCTTTTCTGTGTCATCATTGCTTGACCACTGTCAGGATGAACAGCCACCTACATGCCACACTATTCCTGATTAATTTGTTTTTATTTTAATCTACTTCGTTGAATACTTCTTTGTTAGCAAATGTTACGATGGTTTTCTCCACTGTAGATTCATCATAACCTCAGCTCTGGTGCAGAGAATATGAAATTTGGAAAAAAACCCACCTGTAGAACCTTAAATCTATCAGACTTTCACAAAACTGAGTCCCACAGGAAAAAAAATAGAATAAAGTCAGTGGAGCTGCCTCAGTGCATATTGTGCATTGAATTAAAGGTGTCAACCTAAACCCTCTTTAGCAATGTGACAAAATTGTGTGTTTAATACTTTCAGCTTCAGAGCTAAGAGCCAGCAACTCTTTTTAATTGGAGTCCTCACCCTGTTTCTTCATGTGTCCTTAATATCTCTCAGGCTTTGCTCCCTGCATAAAAGGAATATATAGATGAGGATTTTTTCTGCTTTGTCTGCTGAAGTGTGGAGTTACTATTTACATAACAGTGAGCCACACACAGAGTATTGCCAGAGTGCATTCTTCCTAACTGAACCAGAAGCAGAGAGTGCTCGGAGAAATGGGGTGATAGTGAGAAACTCACATGCTTGTGCTGAGGTTGCCTAATGAATGTGTGTGCTGCGTAAGTAGAAGGGTTTTGCTCTTGCTTTGCGTTGCCCTGTTCATCTTGCTATAGATTCAGAATTATGTGTTGAGTCTTTGCTTGAGCAGGGCATAAAGGTGTCATGCATGGAGAACTGTATGAGGATTAGTGAATGAATGTGCCTGAAACAGAAGCCAAAGGGAGAGGAGTCACAGTTTGACCCAATTTATTCAAACACAGCCCCAGAGATGGGAGGTCAGGCCTTGATGCAGGTATGTTTGGAATGCCACTTTAGTCATAAGGTTCAGTTTTAGGCTAGTCCTGCGAGGAGCAGAGTTGGACTTGACAATCCTTAAGGGTCCCTTCCAACTTGGGGTCTTCTATGATTTTGTGGCTGTGGTGATGAAGCACAGAGCTCAGTCAGACAAGCATCATGTTAGTGTACAGCTGATCCCTCTGGGCCCTTTTGTGCTCTTTTTTCTCAAGCTTTTTCCTGCATGATCCACCTCTGTTTCTTTCTTACTGTGATCCTTCCTCTAAACATCCTCCTGTATTACAGACTTGCTCCTTTTCCTCATCTTTCCTTCTCCAAATTTTGTTATCATAGAATCATAGAGTATCTTGTGTTGGAAGGGACCTTTAAAGATCATCTAGTCCAACCGCCCTACAATAAGCAGGGACATCTCCAACTAGATCAGGTTCCTCAGAGCCCCATCAAGCTTGACCTTGAATGGCTCCAGGGATGGGGCCCCTACCACCTCTCTAGGCAAGCTGTTCCAGTGATCCACCACCCTCATATTAAAGAACTTTTTCCTAATGTCCAACCTAAACCTACCCTGTCCTAGCATTAAACCATTACCTGTTGTCCTATTGTTACATGCCCTAGTGAACAGGTCTTCCCTAGCCTTCTTGTAGGCTCCTTTCAGGTACTGGAAGGTCACTATAAGGTCCCCCAGGAGTCTTTTCTTCTTCAGGCTGAACAAACCCAACTCCCTCAGCCTGTCTTCATAAGAGAGGTGCTCCAGCCCTCTGATCATTTTTGTGGGGGTTCTTCAAGGGGGGTTGTTCATTTTTAGTGTTTCAATTTATGTGTCTTTTCTGTTTGCAGGGGCCTGTGGGACCCCCAGGAGACAAAGGATCATTGGTACAGTATGTCTTTCTAACTACACCCAGATTTTATGTGGAGGGGATAATCTCATTCATTGTGTTTCTACCAGTGATTTAATGAAGGCATGTTTGATTAGTTTCTTTTTGCCCAAGGATGGTAGGGTCACAGGATGGCTGACCCTCCAAAGATGACTTTTCTCGTGCATTACCTGCTACTTGTCTCCTGTATTGAGTTGTGAGAAAGAGTTGATTGAGACTCTTGGCATGATGACAACTTTGCCTTTACCTGGTAACAGTTCTACAAAAGAAAGAATGAGTCAATTGTTACCTTTTTTTAAAAAAAAAAAGTATTTCAAGGCAACTAATTCACTGCTATGCCTTATAGCCAAGGCCTTAAAGTTTTAAATAAAACATTTTAAAACATTTTTCTTAAATCTTACAGAAAACTGTGCTTTTTGGTATTCAACAAACACACTTAATTCCTCAACATGCAATGTTACCAGAATGCAGTACCTTAGTGTGAAACAAATACCTGTGTACCATGGTCTCAGTGTACACTGGCATGAATTTCCAGCATGACAGCCAGTGTACTAGCTTGCTACTGGGGAGCTGGACCTTCTTTCCCTTCCTGCAGTGTGTTCAGTCATATTTTCTCCCTGTTCATCAACCTGCCCCTTATAAAGAATCGTTACTACTTTTCCAATCAAGGTATGTGAGACTTGACTTAAGTGATGCACATAAAGTCCCTCAAGACACAGAAATTACTGATAATGTGATAGTACAATGTGAGATTTAATTATTTATATTTTTTTTTTAATTAAACCCTTTCATAGTTGTTTAACTGCTGCTTGATTTTTTTTCTTCCCAGTAGTATTGGACTGAGGATTTCTTCTTCATCTAAGAAGCCCCTCATAAGTACTGTTCACATTTATTGGTTTGTCTGTTCTTTCCCTTCCAGGGTCCCCGTGGTGTGCCTGGTATTCCTGGACCACAGGGACCTCCTGGCCAGGATGTAAGTAAAATAAAAGTGTAAGTGCTCAAGAAACGTCCCAGTGCTTGAATCTGATTTCCTTAAAAATTGTCCTCATACTCAACTGCTGCCATTGAGTGTTAGTGGGATGGTCCAAGGGACATGACTAGCAGAAGTGGAGCTCTTACAAGTTAGGATGTCAGGGGGGAAACAGGCTGAGGAGGGTTGTCTTCAGGAGAGTGGTGGATTTTACCACAGAACCATTTTCAAATGACACTGGAGAAGGGGCTTGGCAGCAGACACTTGAGAACAATCCCACACTGGAAAAGGATGATTGTTAAGCTGTCTAGGAAATTTTTTTTAAGCCACTGGGATACGTAACCTGTAACATTTTGATGAAAAGAGGGCCACAGTTGTTAAAAAGCTCTTTGTGACTTCATTTTGCTGCTTCTGCTGCGCATGAGAGATGACATTTTAACCTCTTGGTGCACTGTCCTCACTCCTTCCATCTCAGCAGGTGAGTCATGAAGCTAAGGGATAGAGAGAAATCTGGCAGACTCCCAGCTGGGAAGCTGACCCCTCTCACTGCCTGGCTTTGTCACAGTGTGGAATCAGAAAGAGAAGAGTTTTTTCTCTGCTGGTCAGCCAGCTCTGTGATGTGGAAGCCAGTCCTGGAGGAATACCAGCAAGGAGGCTTTGAAGATTTTGAGAGGCTTGATCTTTGGATTTGTGGCTGTCCAGGGGACGCTGTGGGGAGGGGGCAGTGCCCTTCTGTACCTGTCCTTCTCTGTGCTGCTTTGCCATGCTGTCATGCCTGAGATGAGTAGCAGTTTCACCAAGTTCATGTCAAGTTCCTTTTCAATCTCTGTGGCTTTACTGACATACATCAGCTGGCCTACAGGGTATACTTTCCTGTGGGAGGGATCTCCTTTCCTCCTGCAGTGTTCAGAGAAGGAAGTCTAGTTTTCTTCCCACCTACTTTGTCACAAGACAGCTGATTATGGCCAGAGGATTTCTCCACAGCCCATGATAGTGGAAATGGTCCTTTGTCTCCATCACCCCATCTGATCAACCAGATTCAGGATCAGTTGTGACCTACTGACTGCCCCTAGATCTTCTCACCTTGTCTCAGATGCTTGACATTTTTAATCATGATGTTTTAAACAGGTGATGCAATAGATGGGTTTATTACACTTGTATTATGTGAAGAGAGCTCCAGAGCGAGCTTTTCAGTCTCTTTCTGGCTCTACTCAGATGAGGATTGACTGGTCAGCTGTTGGAGAGGCAGTACTTCAGTCTTTACATCTTTCCCTTTTCCTACAGAAAATTACCCAAAAAGAATCAGTCCTTATGGTGCTCATAAAGTGCATCCTCTCTCACACTGTTTCAGTTACACTCAGGGTACCTTTCAGAAGTTTTTTGTATTCCAGTTAATCACCTGTTAAGCAATTCTACCTGTGTTTCAGGAAGGGTAAACATAGCTACAGGCCACATTCCAACAATATTTTGGTGTAACAGCAGGGACAACTATTTCTACAAAATTATGCATTTGCAGTTTCTTAATCTCCACTTTCATTTGTGACTAGCACAAAGGATTTTTTGTTCTGCTTTTGCACTCCTGTATTTCAATGTGGTACTGCTGAATTCTCTGAAGCCTGCCCATTTTTGTACTCTGTTGTGTTTTAACTGTATGTCATCAATTAGGACAGCTCCAATTTGAATTGCTAATATGAATTTGCCACACAAATCCCAAGCCATTCAGTGGCAATAGCCTTAATGCCTTGCCTCAATGTCGTTTTTTTGCTGTGCCCTTTGCAAATGTATTTCATGTTTTTTTTCCTGAGACTGAATAATTCTTTTAAATCACATTTACATACATTAAGTTGTTCTCTGCATTATTTTTTCCAGTTATAGACTCATTGGATGCTCTTGTAAATATTTGCTGTAAGTTGTTGAATTCCCTAATGCTGCAGATCAGATTTACAGTTATATTTGGGGAGATGGAAGAGTCAATACTCCTTTTTCAGTACTCTTGGCCAGAATTATATCCCACAGATGAATAGATTGGGGTTTTTACATGACTACCTTCTAGCTTCTTTCCAGTGCCCTAAAAGCATGTGCTGTAAGTTTTGCAATAGCACTGCTCAGGGTCACCTTTTGAAACATCCATTGGCAACTCAATCAAATATCAGGAGTACACAGGACAGTGTCTTGTTGTATTAAAATTTAGGTTTTGAAAAGCTTTGTCTGGGTTTTCAGTAGGGTCATGATGGTTTGGCTTTGTTCTGTTCCTCCTTGCAAAAGTGCATTAGCAGTGTTTCTTTTCAGTGCCATGCCAGGTTTGGGGCAGACTCTTTTGAGGTGTTGGGTTTTATGGGGGTTGTTTTGTTGGGTTTTTTTCTGGCTTTTTTCTTTTCCACTTTCCTCCTGTTACCAGCTTGTCAGATGCAATTTTACCCTCCATGACTTCTTTCTAGCATTTTAATTCTGCTCTGAGTAATTTTTGCAGCTTGGCCCCTGTTGTCAGCCTTTTCTAACTCCAGGTCACTAAAGTGCCATCATCCTACATCTGGTTTGTTCATTTCAGCTCAGACAAGCATTTTTCAAAGGACACTCTCTTTTTACAGTCTTCTGCCTTTCAACTGTTGGACTTTTCCTGGTGATGTCATAGTTTTCAGATTTGTCAGCCATGGCACATAGCTTAATAACTTCTTACCCTGGCTTATTTGCACCCTGGTAAAGTCATCAGCAGCTCCATATCATACAGTATTCAAGAAAATAGGTCCATCTTTTTTTTTTTTGTCTTAAGACAATCTGATACCATGTGGATATCAAAGCCATGCTTATCTCTTTCCCAGGATTTCAGTTCTAGTCACTCCCTTCTTGTGTGTCATTTCTTGTAACTGAGGTGGAAAGGAAGGGAAAGGAAATATTTTCCTATATTCTTCTTTTCAGGGCCTCTGAGCAACCTGGTCTGGTGGGAGGTGTCCCTGCCCATCCAGGAGGGTTGAACTTTGAGGTCTTTTCCAACTCAAACCATTCTATGATTCTATGATTCTTTAAATAAATCTTCTTTAAATGCTCAAATTCCACTGCGAGTACCTTGTCATGTTTCAGATCGCTAAGCAAAAATCTGTCAGGGAGCCCAATGGTAGAAATAGTTATTTATAGCTACATTAATAGTCAGAAAGAAAATGTCTTTTCTGTGTTGCTTTCTGATCCAGGATGGCTCAAGTCTTTGCTTTTTCATCACTTTGCATCACACTCCTTAAAGCAAGTGGTGTTTGAGACTTCACAAAAAAAAGCAGGGAATAAAAGACCTGTGCAATTGTTGTTTAGGCAACCCTCTCCCCACTTGCAGAAGTGGTTGAGAACCACAATGGAGAGGATGCCAAAATCATGACCTGACAATTTGCATTCAAAGAGAAGGGACTTTGAGAACATCCCACAATCTTCTACATTCATGTTACTGCTGTGTGGAAGAAGCAAAATGTAAATAATGTTGCCTTACATTTACTCAGTTTCCCAGAAGGACATTTGTGGGAATTATGAATTAAGAATTTCCTTCATATTTATCTTCTCTTGGTTCTCACCTGTAGAAGGTTTAGTTCTTTGAGAAACAAGCTTTAATCCTTGGACTTCAGTACTACTTCAGTTTCACTTCAGTGTGTATTTAATATTCATCTCTAGAAAGTCAATGTAACTGAAGTGATGTTGTTCACCCAGAAGTGTTTAATGTGAACATGGAAAAATAACAATAATTTTATTTTAGCATTTTCTCTCTCCTCTAGTAAAAGGTGAGGGATTTAAGTTGATGTGAGATACAAGGATGAAATTTAGGTTTGCTCTGTAGCTGTAATTATGGTGTAGCAGAGTATCAGCCCTTTGCCTGAGTGCACACCCAGGGCACTGAAGTCATCAATCCCCAGGCAGCCAAGTAACTCCCCATCTGGTTGCCTGCATAACTAACACAATGATTTGATTGGAGGCAAAGGACCAAGCTGAGACAAGGTGATAGACAGAACATCTTCCCTTCCTGACAAAGCATTTGACCATTTTTCAAAAGGAGCTTTCCAGGTGGAAATTTTGGATCATCTCAGAGAGTCCCTTAGGTAGCCCCTGCTGAGCCTACACTGACTGAAAGCCATAACTTGTATCTTCAGTGTACTTGTATCTTCAGTCTTCAGCGTGATGGGTGGGGAACCTGGCATCATCCCAGAGACCTCCCTAGGTGGGTCCTGCTGCAGAATCAACAAAACTGAACACAGATAAGATGCTTTTAAATGCTCAGTGGAGATTATTGCTGCAGATTTAAAAAGGTTTAGCCACAGCTTTTTGTATGTGGTTCAGAGAGAAGAGATTTTGTATGTTCTTTCAGGGACTCAATGTGGATAAAAGATGTGTATGTTTGAGTGATAACACAGGGTGACAGGCCAGCTGGATACAGGAATCTGACAGAGAATGGTTTGGGGAAATCTCACCCACTCCAATTTAAAACACCATCACAAGAATCTTTGCAGTGCAGATTTCTGTCACCAGCTGGACAGTGACCAACTGTCCTGTTCAAAAGATTTGGTTTCCTATGCAAGCATTACTTTATGCAAAGATTCAAAGATAATTTGTTTGTTTATTTGTTGTTGTTTTGTGTTGTGGTTTTTTGTTTTGTTTTCTTTTTGAACAAAAGACTTGCTACTGACAGGCAAGAGATGCCCATTAAGGAGGAAGGAGTCCCTTTTCCAAACTGTTACTTCCTGGACCTTAAATTCTTCGGATGCTGGTCATTTCTATGCCTTCATCTCATGAAAACTGATGCCAGTACATCCCCCACAAAGAAACAGTCTCATTGCTATTTCAGGTGCAAGGGACCTGTTTGCAAGGTGCCTGCAAAGCAAGGTCTTCATTTTGCATGTTACAGGTGTCTTGAGGGATTTAAAGCTTCATCCTTCACACTGTTGCAGTTCATGGTGTTTCCTGTGACCAGAAGGCAAGCTAAAGCAATTGCAGCCTTTGTGTGACTCAGATGGATTTAACAAGGTCACACAGTTTAGAAGTGAGATTTTGAAGGGGTTCAGAGGATGTTAAAGTTGCAGATATTTAAAGGAGTTTACTGCTTGTCACATGCAAGGACCAGTGGTCCTCAGTAGCAGAAGGTAAAATGTGTGCTAGTCCAGAGCAGTCAGCAGAGTGTGGGAGCAACCAGGAGGTTATTGTATGATGATTTCAAAATGTTTTCTTTCTCTTGATCTGTAGGGTCTACCTGGAAATCCAGGGGAAAGAGGACCTCCTGGAAAACCAGTATGTAACTTCACCTCTACATTATGTACTTCTTTTAATTCAGTTTCCACCAGGACACCTCACCTCAGAAATTTACTTGAGTTTATTTCCACTGCTGCTCTTCCCAGCAGAGCAACTGGGAAAATATTGAGAAACCTTGAAGAGTTATGGTAAAAGTATTTGTGATGGCTTTGGAAGAGTATGGAAATAACTGGATATCCTGCACATAAATAAAAGCCATAATTTTAAAGGCTCTTTCTTAGCACCACTGTGCAGAACCCTCATCTCAGGTGTGATGAAGGGCATTAATAATGTAAGACAGGAAATAAGTTGGGCCCATCTAGGCAGGGTGAGGGAAATCAATGAGAATCTGTAAGCATGTTCAGAAAAAATTCTTATACCTTGATGCCTTTTGAAATTGCATGATAAAATGAGTTTCTCCTTCAACAGGCCTCCCCACCCCTGCTCTCTCCAGAGGACATCAATCTCTTGGTAAAGGTAATCAGCCTTTGATGATGGTGGGAGTTTATTTGTGTGTTTGATTCCCACCTGACTAACACTGTGATGGGAAAGTGTCTGAGCTACAAGTGCAAAAGGTATGTTTAAACATTCTGCCAAAGCTTGAAACTTGCATGTCTCCTGCTTTCACTGGTATTGGGACACTAGAGCATGTGGTGGAGATCAACACCCAAAGCCTTTTCACCATCCCCAGCTGTGAAATGACCTACACATACCTTTGTAACATTGTTGCAAAAGCTCAGAGACTTTTTCAGCTGTTTGTGAGGCACGCATTCCCAAGGAGAAATAAAAATGGTCAAGTTGTGTTACCTAAAGCAGGAAATGGAAACCATTTCAAGAAAATGTCTGATTTTTCATGTGTACCTTCAACAGTGACTGGAGTAGTTCTGAGCTGTGCATGCAAAGTCACTTTGCATAGTGCATCTAAAAGGATGCAGGTGATTAACCCCAGATGCATCCATGTTTCCAAAGTGAGGATCTGTCTGTCTGCTTTCACTCTCCATGGAGAGTTGTCTGGGAAATAAATCAGTGCCTGATAGGTGCTGACTGCAAAATCTTTACAGATTTACATGGGCTGAGTTGGGAGATTTTTAAGCAGTCTTGGGACATGGCAAGAAATCCTCTCCTACTGTTTAAATAAACTAAAGAATTACTTGTTTTTAACCAACCCATTAACAAAAAGACCTTTTAAGATTGCTACTGTGAAATGCTTTCATTGAAGAGCTGTCTTACTTGTGAAGGCAAGTATTTTTCTGGAGATGTCACTGTATAGTATTACTTGGCATTTCTGATCAGGACAGTAGCAGGAGCCTGGTTCTTGGGTACAGGATGTCATTGAGATGTTCCTTTGTTTTCTTCCTTTTGTTATGTTATGTTTAAACACACTCCTATGCCTTGCATAGTCTTTCTGCTTGGTATTTTTTCACTCCACACTTGGTACAGATCTGTATGAAGCAGAACATTGAAATCCTAGATGGAATTAGGGCTCTATTGTTCTAGGTGTTTCTCAAGCACTTGTATTGTAAATAGATATATATGAAGGGACTGGGAATCAGAAAGACACAGTTTTGCAAAGGATCATTGACAGAGTTGGATGTTGGAGTAAGGTCTCCTAACTCCTGGGCTGATGATCTGTCTGCTGTACTACTCTGTCTCTTAACGGGAGGATTCACTGGAGGGAATCTGTCTTTGAAATGGAAGTATCACATCAATGATATTTCATTTCCTAAGGATAGAAGGAATGTAAAGACTACTGAGATGATGCTTCAAATAGTTTTAGATGGGAGAGGTAGTAATTCTCCATGACAGAATTTGGGCAGGACATTGTGACCTTCAGTTGGTCTTCACAAATGCTACTGGGTGAGTTCTCCTTGCCCATGATAGCTGCTGGATACTGCACCTGGGTTTTCCCTAGAAATCTGCCTTATGAGCAATAACCCAGCTCTTTCAGACTGGTGGAACTAGCGGGACATCTCCCTGATGAGGAAAGGCTGAGGGAGCTGGGTCTCTTGAGCTTGGAGAGGAGGAGACTGAGGGATGACCTCATCAATGTTTACAAATATGTAAAGGATGAGTGTCAGGAGGACAGAGCCAGCCTTTGTTCAGTGATGTCCAGTGATAGGACAAGGGGCAATGGGTGCAAACTGGAGCATAGGAGGTTCCATGTAAACATCAGAAAACCTTTCCTGTGAGTGACAGAGCACTGGAACAGGCTGCCCAGAGAGGTTGTGGAGTGTCCTCTGGAGACATTCCAAACCCACCTGGACACGTTCCTGTGTGATGTGCTCTGGGTGACCCTGCTCTGGCAGGAGGGTTGGACTAGATGATCTTTCCAGGTCCCTTCCAATCCCTAAGATTCTGTGATTCTGTGGTGTAGACACAGTTTTCTAGAAGTCTTGTTGCTTTAAACCCAAGTTATTCTTGGCAATCTTGCTTTGCAGCTCTCTGGCCTTCCCATTAGGAAGAGCTTTTCCTTATTTTCTTGATCCTGGATGACCAGTTAGGACATTTCCAACTAGAATTGATAAGAAACTCTCCATGGGAGCATGTGTGAGCTCAGCTGCTGACCCTCACTCCCTCCACACTGCCCTCATTTCAGTTCTGTAAGGCAAAGTAACCCAGATCCTACCCAGTGGGGTCAATGCCAAGGCCCATGTTTTATACTAGCACAACACTGGCACTCATAATCAGTACTGTGGGGTCTGCTAAGTGCCTTCATTCTGTTGCTCATTTATTTCTCCATGTTTTGTCCTAGGACGTGTGCAGTGAATGCCCCCCTGGCCCACCAGGACTGCCAGGTATCCCAGGTTTCAAAGGTGATAAAGGTCTCCGAGGACCACCAGGCAGAGATGGCCAGGATGGGAAAATGGTAAGAGAGCTGGGGAAGTGACCGTGCCTTGGATATGGTGTGATCTTGTTTTCCTTATAATAGTTTTCCTTAGAATATTTTTAGGTGGTTAAATTTTATTTTTTTTCATCAACAACCTACTGAATCTTCTTTAGGTGACTGTGAAGTCAATGGACTAAACTAGTCTTTATCTCTACCTCTTCTGCATTGCAGGGGAATGCTGGCCCCAGAGGTCCTGCAGGCCCACCTGGGCTGGATGGCCCAAAGGTGGGTTGGTTTTCTTCAGTTACCTAGTGAAAACTTATTTGTGACTAGTTGGTAGACTGACTGAAACAGGATCTTGGTGGCATCCATCTCTGTGTAAAGAGGTAGGACTGGCCTGTTGGGAGGGCCCTGTACTGGTAATTCACTGGAGTTCCACCTGCACACAGAACTGCCCATTTTCCTGCACAAACACTGTATCACTTATATAGTGTCTTCTGGCACCCCTTTGTTCACACAGACACACACACAAGTGAAGAGCCTGATTATTGATGCTGAGTTTCATTACTTTAGTGTTTTGGTGACAGATAAGGACTTGAGAACAAGTTTCCATCCAAGTCAGCTGAGGAAGACCTACAGCCTCAGCAGCAGCCAAACTGGCTGTCCCTCTCCTCTCTGGATCCTATATGCCTGAATGACTTAAATTAAAGGGGATATCTTGAGCTGCTGGGCTCCACATACACTATCTGCTACGGTGGTTTAATCCACAGATTCTGAGTGTTTCCTGAAAACAGCTCTAGGAACAACTCCTAGTTTCAGCTATCTGCTTCTGCCCCATGGTCTAGGCAAACATAAAGCTCCCAATGTCTGGAGGATTCCAGTAATGTCACATTTCAAGCTCTGTAATCAGTCTGTTCACAATGCCAGTGCCTGGTCCAAATCAAAACCTTTACAACTGCCTAATGTGAAATAAATCCAAACAAATCCATGGAGATAAGGTGATTCCATGACAGACCATGATTTCTTCCAGACTTCACTACATTACTGACATTCAGTAAAATTGCTTCTGCTATTTCAGCATCTTTGTATTTGCACTGATTAGAGGGTAGCACAAGCTAATAAAGATTCATGAATTAATTTTATGTCTTACAATTAAAAGTGTGGTGGGGGGAGCAGGAGACTCTCAAAAGTAAATATAGGGTTGATCAAAATGAAAGTAAGTACCAGGATAAAATTTGCAAAAGAATTAGTAGCCTATAAAGACAGTAACTGGCAGAAGTGCCAAGCAGTGTGAGACATACCATGTCTGCTGCTTGCTTAGATGCTTTGGGAAAGCAGAAGTTTGGGCAGCAGGACTGAATGTTTAAGCAGAGTAACAGGGCCAATTTTAAACATAAAATAAAACCAAGTAACTGATGAATAGCTTAACTCATAGTCAGTTAAAAGGCATGTTCACAGTTTGCAATTGTTAAAAGAAATTCTTCTAAGATTGCTAACAAGGTGGAAACACAAAGGCAGAATTATTGGCTCCTTTCTAAGTACATCAGGAGGATCCTGGCAGTGAAAAGACCCAAAGAGCAGCCTTCTCTCCCCCACATATCTCCTAGCTCTCATGCAGCAAACCAGAGTATTATTTCCATGGCCAGCAGTTCATTCATGCTCTGTGCATTGTTCAGAACTTGTTTGCCACCCTCTCAGTATTTTTCACTGTATGAGCTTCATCTTGCCTGACTTTAAGCACTGATAATACAGGCATCGACATCTGAGTTAGCTGCATTTGTTCTGCTGTCACTAAGGCAGAAAGAGGGAGAGAAAGAGGGGGGCACTTCCTGGGTATGAATTTTCTGAGGGCACCTTAGGAATGCCTTTTTTATTGCTGCTGTCTCTGAAGGGAGAGATTACTATCTCATACTGTGGAAGCCTTAGTCGTGACAGATTCCTTACCAAGATCTGATTTAGTGAAGTTGTTAGTGTCCTGTCTACTTTATAAAGATGTGTACGTCCTCTTCATGTCCATGAGACTACAACATAATAAAAAGACTGTGCTTGACCTGCTCAAATGCCATTCTTCATGTAGATTTCTGCCTCCAGCATTGGTAGTGAAAGTCTAGGGAAGAGTTTAAGAGGAGGGCAAGCAGGACTCAGACCTAATTTTTGAGTTTTATATTCAAATTTCCAAGTGTTTTATGAAAGAGGTCAAAAAGCTGATACAATACTGAAGCTAAGTGACTGTCAATGGCCTTTTTTTCATTATCAGGGTGCTAAAGGAGACCGTGGTATGACTGGGGATGCAGGAGAAAAAGGTGAACAGGTAAAAACAGATTGTGTTTTCCAATGCTGCCATTCATTGTGAGTGTTCCTTCATCAATAAATCCTGTGATGTCAGTATAGGAATATCATTTTCAGAGGCAGAGGAGGAAGATGGAAGCTCTTCATCACTGATTAACCTCAAATAGGCTATGCTGAGGAGTGGAACTGTAGCAGTCCTGCACAGGCTTCCATCCTCATCTCCAAAAAGCACCTTCCTATTTGATCCATGTCTTCACCTCCAGACTGGATGTGTTCAGTTCTCTGAATTACCCAACTTTTAGTCATTTCCCCAGGTATCACCTAGAAGAGGTCCAGGAGGTCAGATGTCTTACGCTTGAAAAGCCCAGTTTGTTCCAGAAGATGAACTCAGGTGACCTCTTTTAGAAGGCACTGAGATGCCACAGGGAAGAGGAGGATGGTCTAAATTACAGCCAGCTTTCACAGTTAATTTTGCCAAGGGCTGTTTCAATAGTTTAAGGTGTAAATTAGCACTTCTTCAATGAGATTTCTAGGGTATTTTAAACAAGTTTGGTTTCCTGCCTGATCTCCTGTCTTGTACAACTTCCCAGTCTGTTCTCATCTCCCATTAGCATAGACTGAAGTAAACATTCAAAAAAGTAAATCTTAACTCTGTCTTTATTTCTGAAGTGCATACTTTGAAAACCGTGGCTTTTAAAAGCCATGGTTCCTTATAACCACTTATCTGTGTGTTGTCTCATTTTGCTGTTACCTTACAATGTTCAATCACTAGTTAACTTTTATTCAACTAAAGATGTGGATAATGCATGAGGGAAGTCTCTCTTTTCATTCTGCAGGGCCATCCTGGAATGCCTGGCTTCTCAGGGGCTCCTGGAAACCCTGGTCCACCTGTAAGTTCCTCTGTTACAAAGAAGCCAATTCTTTATTTTCCTTATAAATAAAAGTTCTTGCAAGTTCCACACAGAAGAAAGGGCCATTCCCACCTTCTGTGCCTTGCATTTGCATTTTCAAATGGGTTCCTAGGCCAGGACCTAACTCAAATGTCTGACTATTTCTGGCTTTGGAGACTGATTGAATGCAGAGGTTGTCATTGTTTTTTCTGTGATGAATGAAGAAATGATGGAATGAAGTGTCTGAGTGGCTAAAGAAAAGTTTAGTGTTGCCAGCTGTGTCAGGGAGTGTGTTGACAAAATGTGTAAATCACTCATGTTGTTTCTGATTTATTTTGTTTAGGGACCAGATGGGGCACCGGGACCAATAGGACCAGCAGGAAACCCAGGAGACATAGTAAGTTCAAAGATGTGTTGTTCACCATCAGATTCACCTGTGTTCAGCTCTGTGAAGTAAAGCTGAGCTGGAACCCATGTAATGTCCTTTAAAATCTCCCCAAACTATTCAGCCTGCATCAACTCTACACCTGCAAGAAGGACTTCCACAAATAGCTACAGATTACTCTGTTCTTGCAGATTTGCTTACTCAGCAAACCCCTTCAAATTAGCCAGAGCATAATCCAGTCCATGGGAACTTTATAAGGATGATTGTCTACTTCACCAGCTTCAGGAAAAATATTATCAGTGATTTCTCCATCAGTAGCAACTTATAACTAACACTGGATGTTTTATGTGAAAAGAAAGCCTTCCATTTTCAACCAGAAGGAATTTCAAGGGAACCTCATATGCTGTGTGACATGGGCTGCAAGATCAGCATCTCACAGTCATCACTTGTCAAACTCTACATTTGCCAAATCTTCATCTCTTAGAAGCATTTGAAGAGCCCGACTGACCTGCAGTGTTTCTGCTTCCTTCCAGGGTAAAGATGGTCCTCCAGGTCCACAGGGCCCACCAGGGCTGCCTGGAATTCCGGTAAGTACAATTCAACTCCTCTTCTTTAAATACCTTGAACTGTGTATAAGTACATAGGCAACAAACAGATGACATCTCAGATGCTTTGAATGTTATATATGATGTTTAATGGTATCTGTCATGTTGATGCTATATCCTTGGTCCAGAACAGTGTGAATGCTGTATTGGATCACTTTAAAGCTAAGTGTTAATGACTAACATGAAACAGGTCTGTCCCTCATCTGCTTCCTCATTCTTTGCCAAATATACTCTTATTCAGAGCACAAAAATGAAGTAATAGCTGCCGTGTAAGGGCAGAAGAATTCATAGACTGGAATACCATCTTTATCTAAATCCACAGTCAAAATAATTCCTTTGCACTGGCTGAAGTTCAGGTGCATCTTGGGCATAGACTCTTCTCTTCTGGACAATGTAGTAGGACATTTTCAGGTTTTTTAATCTGTCATTGGGAGAGGGCCAGAGCTACTTCTAGTGTAAAGTAGCCTAGTTGAATGAAGATAACGATTTAGAACAGCTGTTCTTAGAATCCTGTTTGAAGGTTGTTGGAGTGCTTGCCTTGCTGAAAGGGAGGAAACCCCTTTGATTTGCCATATTGGAAAGGGAAACACTTTATGCCTTTACAGTGGTGTGGCAAGGACATGTTTGTGGCTGAGTGGTAGAAATACAGTAGTTTTTGGAGGGCTTCCAAAGCACTTAAGTGAGCCATGATGAAGCAGAGCTGTCACTGTGAAACTGACACTGACAAAACCCACACCAATCTTTCCTGCTGTGTCTTTCTTTATACCCTGTTTTGCATTTCATTTGCAGGGCATTGCTGGGAATGATGGCAAAGATGGCAAGCCTGGATCTCTTGGGGAACCGGTAATTTGATTTAAAACTGTTTTGCTCAGGCACTCAGAGACTGCATCCAGTTTTTTCTTTTGGAGCTGCCTATGTGTGACTCCTTAAAGGGGGCAGGGAGCCTATTTGCATGTCTTTTTTAACACCAGAAGGACTATAATATCTTGAGCAATTTATAAGAGTCACACGCTACCAATCCTAAAAAGAAACTGGGCTCTTTGACTTTTACAGCTACCAATAAATACACTAAAACTTAGTGATTCCACTTTTACAGCCAAAGTAAATATTGCAGAGAAAAAAAGGTTGTCTCGTAACATGAAACCAAGTGATTCATTCTTTAGGTAGAAGATTATGGGGCATATAAAGTTTAGAGGAGATGTCTTTAAAGAAGCCTTTTCTGGATTGCTCTGGCAGTCCTGATGCCCAGGATTGGAGGGTTTATATTTCATTTTCTCTACTTATTCTGTAATTGTGTTTGTTGAGGGAAAAAACTGAGCCATGAAGTTGTCAGTCAAAAGGAAATATTATTCCTTGCAACTGTGTTTATTGTATGAAGAATATATGTCCAGTGTCTGGCATTGCCAGCCTCTTTCTCTGACTTGTGAAATGGGATTTAGTGGTTCTGTGAAGAGCCAAGTCCCCAGTCATCAGGGCAACTGGTATGGAGAGCAGCAGTTTTGCTTAAGAAACCCTGGACAAACAGATTTCTCAGTGCTGTTAAGTCTAAGGGAGAAGAGTGGGAAGTTTTCAACAGAAGAGGGATGGACCTGAGACCCTCACTAACATGAATGTGATTGTTTCCCATAGGGAAAGCCTGGAGAACCAGGGCTCCCAGGCCAGGAGGGTGCCAGAGGCTTGCCGGTAGGTGCTGCTCAGAGGGTTCAATCCTGTCACTGTCCTGTCCTGTCGCTGGGAAGCTTTCCTTGGGCAGATGAGGTCACCTAAGAATGCAGATGTTGGCCTAGCTGAGAACAGTTGTGTCATTGTCACTAAATAAATCAATAACCAACGAAAATCGAACACAGGCATTTCCAGATCCTTTACACCTGGGGAAGAGTAGGTCCCTTTCCTAGAAGTTCCATCACATAACTTCATGAGGCCCCTTCTGCCAGAGCTGTAGCCCTTGTGCTGTTATGTATCCTCTGAATGGATGAGGTCAATAAAATTTAGGATTAAATCATCTATTTGCTGGTCACACCAAGCATACATGCACTAGAGTCTTGGCTTTGCAGTTTAAGGAGCTTTGGAAAGCTCTTCCTGGAATGTAGCTGTTCCTATTCACTCCCTGGGACATGGCATCTCCAAGCTGACCAGTCCCCAGTAATCTTAGGCAAAATTGGGAAGTTAATCTTAAGTCTAAATTCAAGCCAGAGTTTTCTTAGTGTTTCATGCACCAGGGAAATGGATAATTATTGATTTAATTATCTTTTGTAGGGTTTCAAAGGACAGAGAGGAGATACAGGTCCCCAAGGTCCCCGGGTAAGTAATGTGTACCACATACGTGATGATTCTTTGGGGAAAGAATGTGTGAATTGAAGTTGACCTTTCTGAGGCAATGGGTAAAATGATGACAGGTCTGTGTTTAATGCGATTGTTTTCAACCATAACTCCACGGGTCACATCTGTGGCATTAAAATCACAGCAGCTGTCTTCATCTCTCTGCTGAAGTTCTGCTTCCAGACAAGGTGAGGCCACTGGTAGAGCTGGGTCCTCTGATGATCCTTTTGAGACAGCTCTTTGTGAGAAAGCTTCAAGGATGCCTCCAAACCACATCCCTCGGATACAAATGTGGATGTACTAGGTGAGGAACCCTAATGCACTAGTTGGACAAGTATCAGCTCTCCTCCAAAAATGCCTAAGATGTGTAAAGTAAGTTGAGGTACAACTCAGAAATGAGAAATGTTACTAGCCCTTTGTCTTAGTTGCTTCTGGATCATAAAACCCAAAACTCAAGTCCTGCATGAAAAGTTGGTCTCCTGAATAAAACAGTTCTGAGCAATGCAGTAGAAAAATCTCCTGGAAGTAGAAAGTGGAAAGCAAAACTGAATGTCTTTGTTCCAATTCTGGCTTTTTACAGGAAAATAAAATGCTCTGCTACAGGAGCTTTGCTGAAAAATCCAGTGCTTGGGGTTCCTCATCTCTTCCTCTTTACAGTAGTTTCTGTATCATGAATAGGCTTCTGGTTTTCAGTGACTGCACTGGCAGTAGCAAATAATTTGCTGGAAAGCAGTGCCCTGCCTTGTGCATCACTTAAAGAAGATGCTTCTAAGTTATTTTTATAAGCCACATGTCATATATGATGCACGAGGCTCTTGTTGGCTTTAAAAGGTTTTCACCAAGCTGGGTCTGATGTTGCAGAAACTCCATCCCACTTCCAGGGGTGCAACTGGTCTGTCTGTGACCTTGAGCTGATCTCTCTTTCCTTTTTGCTGAATTGCAGGGGGAGCCAGGAGCAATAGGTCCTGCTGGTCGTGAGGGGCCACCAGGGAAGGATGTAAGTGTACCATTTTGAGCAGAAACCAATCTCCTTCTCCCTGACAAATGACGATTTTAATTCGCAGTGACCGTGACCTAAAACAGCTGCGGAAGCTGCAGTAAAGGGTGAATTACTGCAGCAGTGTCCAGGGAGTGATTTGTGCAAGGATCATTAGGGTAACAAAGAATTTGAGGGCCTTTGTCACTGCTCAGCTGCTGGCACTTAAATGTCAGCTAGATCCGTGGGAAAGCAGAGAAAGCTGCATTGTTGAGCACCCCGCTCCAAGCAGAGCTTCCTTCTGCAGGTCCCCCTGGGCCAGGTTCTGCCATGTTTCCTCTGCAGAAATTGTTGCTCACTGTGTGTGTAGCTGCACTGAGATCTATGAAATACCTATGGAATAAGATGCTGCTGCTCTGAGGAAAGAGAGGTGGTATAAGCAGATCCTCTGACATTGTTAGTGTCAGATGCAGTCAAACAGCAAAGCCCTGGGAGAGTGGAGCTGAGGTGAAATCCTGCAGCAGCTGCTGAGCAATGCACCAAGCAGCTGATGGGCCATCGTTGTGGGATCTGGGGAGGTGGTTTCTCATTTGCACCCCCTTGTATCACTGGAAAACTGTTGTGCTATAAATGAAACCCTACAAAGTAAAATGGAAGACAGACCCAAGGGAACTCTTCAGAAGCAAGACTGAAGAGAGAAAAAAGTAGTCAATTCTTGAGAAATGCTAGAGAATCTCTGTCCCTGAGAAATCCAGCTTTAAGACAACCTGCTAATAATGGTTTCTGCCTGTAATCACCCTGCATTTTGTGACAGATGTTTAAACTCCAAAGGCTGGTCTTTCTCATTCATCATTGAAATGAGGTGGTGAGACTTCTTGAATGCTATTTCCCCCTAATAAAGGAACAGTGTAATTTAGAAGGAACATTTTAAAATGCTTTTTTGCTTGTCTCCATGTCAGATCTTTCTCTCTCACCAGAATACTTCTCTTCATTTCAGGGTGATATTGGTCCCATAGGACCCCAGGGCCCTCGAGGACTCAGGGGGCAGCCGGTGAGTTTTCTCTCCTGACAGGCCATTTCTGGAGGCACATTTTGTGTGGTGGAAATGTTCTGCAGTACAGAACTCTGTTTTGGAAACAACGTCTTGAGCAAGATTCAGGTGATGTTTGATTAAAACATTTTGCCTACTTTGAGAGCAACAAATCAGAATGACACTGGTAGAAACTGATGCAAATTTATAATAGTGCAATGGAGTCATGGGTGCTGGCTTGGTGGGAAGAATATTTTAATGGATTCTGCCAGGACTGCAGTGTCAGAAGGGTTCATATTCCAGTCCTGCCTCTAGCATTTCTCTCCCTTCTCACATGGCTTCAGTTTTCAAAGGCACATACTTATTGCATGTGCCCAGTTTGAGATAGGTGGGGTCCAGCTGTGACACTAGTCATTTTTGTCTTGGTCTCTTATTGTTTTTTTTCTATGAAAAAGTGCATAATTTTAGGAAAAAGTTTGTTTAATTTAACACCTGTAGAGTGAAGAAATAGCAATTTCATTGGCATCTCAGAAAGTGTCATTTCAAGTGACTGAAAATTACTTTTATAGATTTCATGGGTGTTTCTGTTCTCTCTTAAAAATCAGCCCTTTCCAGATTTGAAGGCAGGTGTCTGTTGCTGAACCTAGATACATCTTTAATATATTGCAATGAGTGATTTCCTTTTTGGAAGTCCTGCTAGTGAAACAGATTCCATAATCAGGGCAAAATGCTGATTCAGCCAGCAGTGCCAGGAGCTGGAGCAGTAGGTCCCTCTGAGGTGGAAGGGTAGGGGTTTAAATTAGACTGCAGGAACATATGGAGAACTCCTGTGTCTACCTTGTAATTTATCTCATTATTCCTGTACTTCTGGCATCACTCACTAACATGTTGTGCCCCCTGCACAACAGTAGCAATGAATACAGAGATTTGAGGAGACAGAAATTATCATACCTCTAGGCCATATTCTTGTTTGGAGAAAAGATATTTTTTTGTATGTTGGAAGGCAAAGTGTCTGTTTCTCTTGTTTTTCCTCTGCTTTGTTTCTTCTCTAGTAAGGACAGTGAGACATGATTTTGAGCATTGCCACTAAAAGGGCTGGTGTTTATGGTCAACTCCAATGCGGGGAAAAACATCTCTGCATGGTGAGTTGGGAGGACAGAGAAGCAAGGTGTAGATTTTTATCTCACCAGCCTTTAGTCAGTATACATTGTCACCCCAGCTACTTTGATAAGGAATGGTGAAAAACAGGTCCTTTTAAAGGATGATTTTGCTCATTCTGATTTGTTTGGCATCTAGCAAGTATCTAAATCCTGAGGACTTTAGAACCTTGGAGAAAAGGTTGGTAGGCAGTGGTACTTTGCAGGACCTCCCTCAGTCACTAGAGAAAGGAAGTTTTCTAACAGGAAGGTGTGGGGAGATCAATGTGTCTGTCAGGTAGTGCAGACCACTGTAACATTGACCAGTGAGTTGCCAAGAGGTGCTTCAAACATGGACTAAGGGGGCCTATCTGAACACTGGTGACATGCAACAGCCATAATAGGTGGCTTCATCTGTCCAGGAGGATGTTGCATATGGTAGGGATAAGGGTGAAGCAGAGAAAGAGGAGTGCTGTTTAGGTCATCTTCAGACCAGGAATTTTGTGGCCACATCTCTCAATTTTTGTCCTGAGATGGGGTTACCCATGGAATCAGGGATGCAGAAATTGTGGGGTCAGTTGGAAACAAAAGGTCTTTACTCTGCAGTCTGCCAAGAGGGGAGGTTGGACAATGCTAAAGAAAAGGAGGTTGGACAATGCTAAAGAAAACTCTGCAGTAGTAGATATTTTTAATTGCAGTTACTTCCTTAACCTTTTTCCTTTTGACACAGGGCAAGAATGGATCACCTGGATCTGCAGGAGAACCTGGCCCACCAGGTAACCCAGTAAGTACCACAAAGGGAAACCATGAGGGAAGCCTCAAGGAGAGGTGACTGATGAAGTAGAGATGAAGCAGATTTTGTGTAGCTTCTTACTATCCCTGAAGTTACCATCTCTGAAGATTGGTGATCTGAAAATCACTGGCTGGCCATGACATCCAAAGGGGTTTGGCTACATTCCTGGAATTGAGCTGCTAGCTGGGTCATCATTTTTTCCCAGCAAAAGTTAAGTGTTCACGGAAAAAGGAAATGATTGATTACCTGGCATGGAAAAAAAAATATTGGCATGCCTCACCCTCACCAGCAGATTTAATTTTGCTGAGCAGAGACTGTGCAGCAGGCAGAGAGTTGTCACAAGGAAGGAGAGGGCCTTGGGGAGCTGGCAGACTGCCGTGGAGGAACAGCAGCAGCAGAAAAATCCTCCCCAGGCACCTGGGGAAAGAGAAGGCAGTGGGCAGTAAACCAAGAGCATGAAGCAAAGTGCTCTGGGGGCATCCTGTGTGGAAGAGCATGGCAGTAATGAACTGTAAGGAGGGCAGTGAGGAGGAGTTGTTTTTTTTTTCTCTGTTCTGCTGCTGAAAATTCGTCAGGATTCAGCAAATCCATGTGAAGGTACCATTGTGTCCAGTAGCATCTATAGCAACACAAGGTTCTTCCCTCTCTTCACCCATCCAGACATTACAGCTGGGCTGTTAGGTTTGGATAGAAACAAAGGCACAGCAGGAAAATCTGAACTGCATTTTTTGTGGCCCTTGCAATGCTGCAAAGCAAGTCCCAGCCTTGCCAGAGACTTGTTGCCTGAGCACATGGCTTTGGGATGCCCTGTGAGTGCTAAAGGGGGTTATTTTTTCATCATCATCATGTTGCCACCTTACCTTGGCAGTCAGCTAGTGACCTGGGAACTCATCAGGTAGCTTTCTGCACAAACACAGGCCTACAGCAACCTCTGCTTCAGAGGATTTACAGTCTAAAAATAACATAAGAGATTGAAAAAGGATAAAATCAGATGGATGAGGAAGGGGAAACAATGAGACAGTGTTGGTCAGCAGACCACACAGTCATCTCATCAGGATCATTCTCTGTCATTAAAATGAATCCTCTCCCTTTCATAAAGATTATTACAGGAAGTATTTCCTTGTGCTGTACCTGAGTCCATGTATTTGCAGCCTTGTCTGGAAATGCACTAATTTCCTTCACAATATGTTTTGACAAGCTGTTATATTATATTTCTATTTTGAAAAGAAAAAAAAAAAAAGAAAAAAAGGTTATAATGGCAATAAGGGTATTTTTTCCAGCTTTACTATGCCTGATTTCTAATCACAAGGTAGAACCTGCCAGGTGCCTTCTCTTTTTGCACCTGCTGTTTGGCAGTGCCCATCCCAATTCTCAGGGCTCACATGTAACCCTGCACACAATGATGCAGCCCCTGGCATCCCTGGGGTTGGTTACATACTCAAAAGCCAGGTGATTTGTGCCTGCTGGATTCATTGGTGTTCACTTTGCACAAGAAGGGCTTAGATGGAGGGTAAGTTTTACTCTAAGTAGAAAAAGGGATATGTTCTGAATTAGCAGGTAGGAGGCCAAGTTGTGAAAGCAAAGGTTAAAATAAAAGTTGAAAAAAGAATATCAAAAGTGTATGTGCAATGGCTCACAATTGGCCATTTAAACTGCTTTGGTCTGTAAGAAAAAGGGCTAGTTGGGCAGAATATCACAAGAAATAAATAAAAGACATTTTTTTAATTGTATCTGGCTATAAAGGCAAAATAGCAACTCAGTAGCTCTCTCTTCATTCTATTCTCAGATTTGAGCAGGATGACCCTCTGCACTGTTTCCCTGTTGTTGCCCATCACAGCATTTCCACCTGATAAACCATGTAGTGTTGGAAAAGCCACTGAACACACCTCCTGTCACCTCCTTTTCATCTTTTCACGAGGAACCCACATAGCTTGTTAATAATGCAGGCATGGTGTTTGCAATCTGCTTTTCTAAATGACTTTGTTCTTCCTTTCCTTGTCAATTTGGGGGTCTTGCTGCTATAGGGAAATTTCCCAGTTTCAATGTATCTGTACATGCATGCTCTGGAAAAGAAATGTTGGAGAAAGGGCTGCTAGTGTCTGTCTCATTTCTTTCCTAAGGGTCCTAAAGGAAATAAAGGAGAAAGTGGCAGCCCAGGTCTCCCTGGCTTCATAGGACCCAGAGGACCACCTGTAAGTATGTCTGGGGATGGATTAGACACACTAATTACCTGCTTTTAAATGTTGGACTGATGGAGATTGGACATGTTAGTCTTTAATTAGGTAAAATAAAAATATAAGCAGAAGATCTGACAGATCCAGAAGCCAAACCCTTTCCTTCCAAAGGAAACCTAGCTGCAAAAATAGCATTTTTCTTATGGACAAACATTCATAATGTTGATGTTGTGGACAAATGTCCATAAGACTAACGTGTGTGCATGAATTAGGCTGGTTCAATACTCTTCTAAAGTGGGAAACTGATTAATCTCTGCATGAACCCCAGAAGAGCTAAATAGGGACATTTTAAGTGCTGATAATATAATAATACAGCAATTTCTGATATTTACTGTTTCAAGGAAAATGTTTTTGTTACCAGCAACAGAGGCACATTGCAATTAAAGTATTCATGTATCTCCCAAAGTGATCTAAAATAATACCTATACATATGAAAATATCACATCTTGAAAGCCCTTCCAAGGTGAGGAAAATATGTTTCCTTCTCCTGGAAGGATGAAAAAGGTAAATACTTCTGTATCTAGCTCTGTTGTGACTTAAAATGAGATTTAAAAGGTTTTCATATGAACACAGCAAAGCTGAATTTTCCACAGGATGATTATTTTTTCTTTTCTTACTATGATTGGAAAAGGAATTTCATCATGAAAGGAGAAGCAAAAAAGATTGCTCTGGAAAATTAATTTGAAGCAGCAAGTCTGGTGGCCATTTAAGACTGAAGTGGCCCTAAGGAATACTTGAGTGAGTCTGATGCTGCCTGATTTGGAGCTGAAGTGGTCACACATCTGTGATTAGTCACATTGCTCATGCAAACCTGGATGTATGTTAGCACAGTCAAAGTGGTTATGTGTGTTTCCAGGTTATGGGAAAAATCACAGAACCACAGAATGGTTTGGGTTGGAAGGGACCTTAAAGATCATCTAGTTCCACCCCTCCCTGCATGGGCAGGGACACCTCCCACTAGAGCAGGTTGCTCAGAGCTTCATCCAACCTGGCCTTGAACACTTCCAAGGATTGGGCAGCCACAGCTTCTCTAAGCAACCCGTGCCAGTGTCTCACCAAAAAAATACCACCTGCTTGCACACATTATAGGTATGATCATGTGAGTGGATTGTAAATGGACTATAAAGATGAATCTTTTAATTCATTATATGGGAAAATTAGTATAATTTTAGCAATAACTAGTAATGTTTGCTTTATTAGAGCACTTAAGGACTGTGGTGACCTTTTCTTTTTTTTTTTCCCCCACTGGAATGCTAAAATGCAAAGCTTGTATTGCCTAATTAGCACATTATAAATGCAGGGTATAGAAAACAAAAAATTCCTAATAGGGTATTTGTTTAAACTGAGGTTATTTGATATCGGGGATTGGACTAAATAAATGGCCTTTAAAGGTCCCTTCCAACCCAAGCCTTTCTGTGGTTCTGTGATACAGTTCTGAAACCCAGGCAAGATTTCAGGCTCAAACTTGATTTATCCCTGGCCTTGTATCCATTATCTCAGCTGGTGTGATATTAAATGGTACTTCTGCTTAGAAAACCTACTTCCTTTACATCTTTAGACTGTTATGGCTATAACTTTGACTGGAACCAGCCCAAGTGAAGTGTACAAAGCTTTGTGAAACATCTGTAAGAAAAAGGAATCAAATTCATTGAAAGCAAGAACCGCCTTTCAACTAAGCATCTGTCCTGATCTTAGCTGGTTCAGTAGAAATTTCTTCCTTTTGTTGAAAAACATTTAGATGGTATGCAGCTTTCCTAACAAATGCTTTTCTAAATTGTAGGATGTGCTTTTCCAGGAATGACCTGTAGCAGTAGGATAAGGATAAATCATCCCAACCCGTTGCTGTGTAGCAGAAAAATTGGGCTCTAAACAGAGAGCAAGGCTTGTAGTTATTATGCACGGTCTTTCTTCTAGCTCCTTGCAGTATGGTTGCTAAATTCCCTCTCTGTATCTCCTAGGGAGAACCAGGAGAGAAAGGGCCTCCTGGAAAAGAGGTAAGTTAAATTCCCAGTTGTTTCAAAATAGGGCTGGTGTCCTGGGGGGGGGGGGGGGGGGGGGGGGTTCTTTTGTGTTTGCCTGGGGTTTTTTTGTTGGTTTTTTTCTGGGATTTTCAACAAATTGAGTTGGTTTTTTTGGGCGCTTTTTTTTTTTTTTTTCTTGAATTGTTGATATTTAAGAGCAAACAGGGAGCTCTCAGGAGTCTGTGGGACTGACAGGGATATAAATTTTCCCCAGGTCACAAAAATGTGCAAAGGCATGTGCTTTGTTATTTACTGTTATTATGGATAGCTCTTTCATACTTACTCTTATTTTGTTGCAGGGTGCACCAGGGAAACCAGGTGAAATTGGTTCCAAAGGAGAGAGGGTAAGTTGGAGAATATTATTAGTTATTTTATGACATTGAAATAAAAAGGTCTATTTTGAGTTAGTGGCTGGGGGAGGAGGTTGTTCAAGAGTGAAACATGGACTGTAGAGATCTGCCATACTTCCCACCCTCCCAGCCCTCTCCCTAATCATCCTCTGTCAGTAATAACTTGTGGATCATTTGTAATGCACCAGATGTTGTGTTCAGTCCCTTTGCCAGCTCAGCTCTTCAGGTTTTGCTGTGCTTGGAAATCAGAAGTTTGCCTCTTATTTTGTGGTGGTAATGTCAGGTTTTTTTCACTTAGGGAGAGCGTGGCCTCAAAGGTGAAAAAGGCCCTCAAGGAGAAAAGGGCCCTCCAGGTGATCCTGGGATACCTGGTCATAAAGGCCATCCAGGGCTGATGGGTCCACATGGACCCCCAGGAGACACTGGGCAAGTTGGACCTCCTGGTCCCCCAGGACAGCCGGGATTTCCAGGACCAAGGGTAAGGCTACCAGAGCAGTGCTTTGTACAGTGATTTTATTGCCTTAGTCTGTGATCAGAAAAGTCCCCAAGATTACAGTAATAGGTGATGGAAACCAGAGTAAGTGTGTGTTATAATGGGGAGGAAGCATTTTTATCTCCTGATTCATAACAAGGAGAACTATAGTGTATCTCAGGGATCTGTTGTGGGGGGATTAGATTGAACTTCAGGAGAGCTGAGCAATCCAGACCTATAGCCAGGGTGGCCATCCCTGACACCTTACACCCTTAAAAACCCAAATCAGGTAATGTAGCCATGGGTCTGGAGTCTGAAAAAGCTGCTTTCTGTAAGGGTGTGAATGCATTTCATACAGAGATCTGATGCCTTCCTCTGCTGCTGGTTGTTATGAGAGACAAAATGCTGAGCCGTGGAAAGGTCACTGCTCTATTCCTGGAAATCTTGGAGTCAGCTCATCAGTATTCATGAAATCCT